AGCAGTGTGGGGAGAGCAAGGAAGACCGTGGGCAGAAGGAGCAGAGGGCACCGTGGAGACCCCTATTTATGAGCCAGGATTGGCCTCCACCCAAAGCCCAAGACCAGCCCACTGGAGGCTCGTGATGCTGGTGTGAGGGAGGGTGGCTGTTCCAGCTGCAGCCTCATCAGCAACAGGCCTGCTTATGTAAGAGGTTCCAGCTGAGCTCCACACCTCAGGGAAGAAAGGGTAGGTCACGCAGGCAGAGGCCTCTGCATGCCCCCAACCCCCACCCTAGCCCCAGAGCCGGAACCGGCCCAGACCTTACCCCACTCCTGTCAAGGTCCACACACCTCAGCAGTGGGGGCACCACCACCACAGGGGCTTCTAGTCATTCCCCACCTGGGGCTAAGACCTTCCCCTCACAAGCCCGACCTGTCACCCTCTCCAAGTCCCATGACCCCAGCAGGGAACACAAAGCACTGTTTGTGCCTTGATCTTTTGGTCCTGAAAGGCTAGTAGCCCGGGTGGCCACGAGGAACCCTCCCAAGTAACGAAACTCAATCTGCCCTGCAGGGAGTTTAAGAACCACCTGTGCTGCCTGCGTACAGCCTCTGCCATGGTCAGCCCGTGGAGTGCATAGGTGATCCTTGGGCTCCCTCAGGGTAAGGGGGAGCGTGGAAAGCATGGAGTGGAAAGGCTTCAAGCCGTGTAGGTGAGGACAGGTGGTTGCAGTCTGTGGCTTCTTCCCGCCATGGAAAAGAGAGCCCGGCATGCACTGCCCTCCTCCCTTTCCCTGTGGTCCCGGAGTTTGGGGTTCTGAGGCACAAGTTTATTTATCGTTAGCATCTGAGTGGGCTTTGCTAGGAGGGACTCTTGTCCTCTCACTAATATTGCAGCTACAGGAAGTGGCCCAGCAGAGCTCCAGGTGAGGAAGTAGGGTAGACCCCAGAACCACCCAGAGGAGGCCCCTTGTCCACGTTTGTACTCAGCCTCCTATCAGCCCTTGCCCGGGACAGCTCATCCATGGCCTGGGACTAAGGAGGGAGGCTCTGGACCATACAGTCCCCAGGCCCCAGCCTGGCCCAGCAGCAGATCTGGGAGTTCTCTCCAGAGGGCCTGAGGACGGGGACAGGAAGAACTTGGGGAGAAGGCCTGGGTGTGTCAACCTGTGTAGGGGGGTTCGGTGGATGGAATGACCCCCCCTCCCAAGCAGAGCAATCTTGAAGTCCTTCCAAGAGTGGGACCTTCTTAGGTCTGAGTCTGACATGTCCCCAGCAGGCTCATGTTTTAACTGACTCCTCTGCTGGTGGCAGGCGCTATTTGGGGATCTGTAGACCCTCGGGAGGTGCGGTCACTGGAGAAGGGCCTTTGAAGGTCCCCTCTCCTGCTGCGTTCTCCTCTCTGTCATTCCTGGTGCCATGCCTCAAAATAAACCTTTCTTTCCTAACGTTGTTCCTGCCCAGACACTGTGGTTTTAGTGACAACAAAGAAACTAACAGGCCTCTCAAAGGACACCGTGGCACTGCGGCTGACACTGGTGGCATCCTACAAAGTCAGCCTTGCCTGGTGAGGTGGGGGCTGCCCCGTTTCCCAGCCAGCATGGGCCTCTCTCTGACGAAGTGCTCCTGTGAGCCCTTCTAGGGAGGCCTGTCCCTGAGCGAGTCCCAGGACTCCACCTTGCTCTGCACCTATCCACAAGGCTGCTCATGCCGGACTGGCCCACCGGAAACTGGGTCACAGCGCTGATCCAAGTGAGAAGGGACAGCACTCAGGCTCCGGTGCCCGGGTCTCACCAGGTGTGGTCCTGAGCTGCCTCTGGAGGGGACAGGATTCTGAGGTCCATAGCCTTACCAACCCCCACTGCCCACCTAGCTTCTTGCCCCGTCTTGTCCCAGTCTGCCCAGAGTCACAAGGAATGGGATACCTAGGGCCCGTTCAAGTCCCCTTCAGGCCCTGTCTGCTGTCTGTGAGTTCTTGGTCTCATCTCCCAGCGTGTGTCTGCGTCACGTCACAGCCTGCTCCCTGTACTACTCTCTCAGGAAAAGCCTGACCACACCTCCAGGTAGCCTGACCACACCTCCAGGTAGCCTGCCAGGAACCTTAGCCAGGTTTCGAATGTACTGGGGTCCCTCCTCCCTGCTCTCAGCATCCCGTTCGGAGGACCATGCTGTCCGTTTTCATTAGTGTCCTGTGAGGGACTAGGAATCAGGCTCACATGAACTAGCACAAGAGTGTAAGCATGCCAGAATTCAGTCAGCACCGTGGAGCAAGTCCCCGAGACCCCCACCTTACACCTCCACACGCTCCCAGGTGCCCACCCGGTCGCTGAGGCCTTTTCTTCTAAGTTCTTTTTAAAATAATTTTATTCAACTTTATTTTATGTATATTGGTGTGAAGGTATCAGATCCCCTGGAATTGGAGTTACAGACAGTTGTGAGCCACCATGTGGTCTTCTGGGAATTGAACCCAGGTCCTCTGGAAGAGCAGTCAGTGCTCTTAACCTCTGAACCATCTCTCCAGTCCCCTTCTAAGTTCTTACCAGTTTGAGGGCATAAACTATAGGACAACTCAGTGTTAAAGCCTAAGATCACCCAGAATCCCCTCCTGCCTGAACATGCCGTCTCCTCCGGTGGCTCAGAGCCAGTAGATGATATGAACAGAACACAGAGGCCTTCCTGGGCCTGGCAAAGACAAGATCTTCCGGGCCAATGTCCGGCCTGTATGTGCCTCAGTCTCCCCACCTGTACAAAAGGAGTGGAGGTAGTCCTGCCTTGCAGGGGTTCTTGGGAAGTATGTTAAATGTGGGCCTACAAGATCATGAGGACTTGTTTGCAGTAAGTAAGGGATTCTGTTGGCTGAGGTGGGGCCTTCGCCCGCTACCTCCTCCCAGCTGGCCCTAGCCAAGGCTTTCCTCTCACCCTTACCAAGTGTCAGAAACTGGGCTGCACGAGGACTCTGAGATATCAAGGTTGGGGTGAACTGGCCTGGAGGCCCCTTCCCGACCTTCCCCTGGCCTAGTGCAGCACTCAGGCCACCCTGAGAGAGGAGACCCTGGATCATCTCACAAACTGCATAAGAGACTGCTTGGCCAGGGATGAGGCCTGACTCTGAGCCTGGGGGACCTCTTGGACTTAGCCTTGAAAAGCCCAAGAACAGTCCCAGCCTTGTCCTACAGGGAAGCAGAGTCCTCTCTGGAGGCAGCCAGTTCCCTGGGTGGGAGGCCAGCTCTCGGACATCTCCAGAGATAGCTTATGCTCAAGGCCTGGTAGGACCCGAGCTAGCTGAGTGACTGCTGGCTGGGTGGCCGCACTGGTAGGGTGAGGCTCTGGGTCCCCAGCTTTAGCCTGGGACTTACCAGGGCCACCTGACTGCCACCTGCTGCCTGAGCGTAGCCCCTCTGCGTTGGAAGCGTGTGGAGAGGGGCTTTGGGAGACCTAGACCCTCAATTTCTCAGGCCTGCCAGGTCTCACAGTCCTTCCCAGAAATGTCCCACAAAGGGCCGTAATGAAGAATGTCATTGCCCTAGGCTGCCGAGAAGTTGCTGGTGGAATAGTTTGGACTCTGAAAGTTGACCTTAGTGTAGTACCCTAGTCTGTCATGAGAACACTAGGGTCCTCGAGGAGGCTACGGTCTAGCTCAGGCATTCCATGTAAGGGGCTGGGCCCATTAACCAGGCTGTGCAGACAGCTCGCTGGGCTGTCTCCAAGTTTCCACCCAAGCCCACCACCTGCTCTTCTCCCTGCGGATTCTGTAGCTGTTGGGCTCACCTCTGTTGATTTTGGACATGGCTGCATCTCCCTGCCCGCACTTCTAGGGTTCCTGTGCTTTCCCAGCTTTGTAGGAGGTTGACCAGGATCAAAGAGGAAGCAGGCAGGCGGGTTGGGATAAGGTCAGTGCCTGGATTTGAGTCTCATGTGCATGTCAGCCAGGCCCCAGAAGGGTTCCGAACGGCTGCTCAGAAAACCGGGTCGGGGAAGGCAGCCGCTGGGAGACAGAGAATCTGGTGCGACCACCTCTACCTGCTCTACTCTTGCAACGGGGTACGCAGAGAGCAGCGGAGCTGCCGGAGGGCCTGGTCCGCCCTCAGCAGCTGCATACCCATACTCTCCAACACTGGGGCTATCAGTACTGGGGTAATGGAGCGGTAAGGTCTGCCTGGCTTCCAGAAGCAACCAGCAGTCCAGTCAAGGATTGAGGATCAGAGAGTGCTTAGGCTGAACAAGACAACCCTAGGAGGGCTACAGTTTCCTCAGCAGTATCCATGGAGGGCCTTTGTTGTGTTCCTGTAGGGCCAGGCAGAACAGAGGATGACTTCTTCCTCTAGGCCAGGCTAGGTCTCCTGGTCCAGGCTGGCTGGCAGGGCCTTCAGCATCTCCTGGCTCTCATCTGTGGTTCACAACCATTATAGGACCTGGATATTATCTTTTTTTTCACTTTATTTTGAGACAGGGCCTCACTGTATACCCTTAGCTGGCTGAAACGCTCTATGTGGATCAGTCTGGGCTTGAACTCACAGATATCTGCCTTCTGGGTACTAGAAATAAAGGTTAACATGGTGGATCTTAATCTAAGTGCATACCTGAGACAGGGCTCTGCCTTTCACGCTGGGGTCTAAGATGATCTAGGGAAACCAATCGACAGTCTCTGAGCAGGGCCATAGCAGGTACCTAGAAAGGAGTCACGTTACCATGCTCTGAGGCATTGCGCTTGGTAATCTCCTTCACAGGCCCATCTGGGATCTGGGCTTCGGCACCCGGGATCACACCACGACCCCTGCTCCTCAGGCTGCGGCCAGGTGCTGTGTAAGGACAAGCCTGTCTGTGTCTCTCTGAGACTAAGGAGGGGAGGTTGGCCAACGGAAAAGAGCCAACGGGGACAAGTGGAGGCATCACAACCCCCAAACCAGACACCCCAGCATCTGCACAGGCCCGGTACACTGAGGCGGTAGAGCTGGCATCCCCAGCCAGTGTGGCTCACGTTCCCCGTGACAGCAACCAAGGACAGCCAGCCCGATCCTCTCTGTGACAGGTGTTTATTTGTGCTGGGGGCAGACGAGGTTGAGTGCCCGTGAGGAGGGTCACAAGCCTAACTGGGACATGGTGAGGGTTGGGTCTGCCGTGGCCAACCAGTTCTGACGGTGGTCTCCTGGCCTAAGGAAGAGAGAGAGAAAAGAAAAGCTGGGAAATGGGGAGAGAAACTGGAGCCAGCGGGACTTGGGCAGGGACAGCGAGAGGGGTCTCAGAGGAGCTAGTGGGGCTCAGGGGTCACACTAGAATTCAGAGCCTCAGGAAGGGCAAGAGAGAGAAGGGTGGGGTCTCAGGTGTCGCCACCCCCCATGGCCAACTCTCCCAGCCACATGCACAATTTACTCAGGACTCTGGGTCTTATTCCTCTCTGGGGGCAGTGGGTTAGGGAGCCCAGGGTCCTAAGGACACATTTGCATGACCTCTGACCTCCAAAGTCCCTTCCCTCCTCAGCCCACACCTGGCTTAGTTCAAATAGAGGAAGAAGGGTGATCCAGACCAGGGGACCCAGAAACTTGACACGTGTCAGGCAACACTGTGTTCTGGAAATGCCCCCCCACACACACATTTTCACATACACCTGATTCTGGTACAACCATGAAGCCAAGACTTTGGTCCCATCCTTACCACAACGTCCCTTCTGAAACCTGGGCCTAATTTCATGTCTCACTTTCAATTCTTCACACACACACACACACACACACACACACACACACACACACACTGTGTCAGGTTTGGGGGTGGATTCGTACAGTACACCCCACTCCCACGTCCCCCAAGACTCCCTATCTGGACGCCTCCTGGCAGGGTTTGTACCTGGCATCATCCAGCCCAAGCTTTCCCTGGCTTCATTGTAAGATGGAAGCCTTTTTTCTCCTAACAGCACTGTGGGCCTTCCCCCCACCCCCAGGTCCCCCTGCTGCTTAGCTCTGGGGGCCTTCTATGCCCCCAGGGTCTGCCCCAGACATCCTCCTGAGTCTCAGTACCTGCCATATGAGTAGCTCGGGGACCTCCTCCCAGCCTTCCGCCCTCTATGCCAGGACCAGGGCTGGGAGTGTGATCCTCTCAGGAGTATCAGGGTCCCCAGGTCCGATGCACTTCTACACATGAGTCCTCAGGGCTTGAGGCCACCTCCCAGCCACCTGTGCAGCCCAGTGCCCCCTCCTACCATTCCAGGGCCCCTGTGCCAGTTTTGGGCAAGAAGGTGACAGGGTCCTGGAGGATACCCAGTGTCCCAGCAAACGGAGTAAACGTCCCCTCCCCATCAGAATCCAGCTTCTTCCTCCTCCCTGAGTCAGTATGAGCGATGAGCCCTAGGGAGGATCCTCCGTCTCCCATCCACTCCCTGGGGGGCCTTGAGAAGGACCCCTCTTCCCACTAAGGAAATATGATGCCTCACCCAGTAGGACCCCTCTGCTGGCTCACATTCCTCCCAGGGCCTATGTGGAGGACCAGGGCAACACTCTTGTAACCTGTACCCGGCCCACCTTGTAATTTCCTGACCCTAATTCCGTAGTGGGAGGGGTCAGGGAGGACTCTGTTGATAGGAGGGGATAGCTGACCACGCCCCTCTGGGTGTGGCACCAGGATGTTGATTAGCTCAGGGCTGCTCGGACCTTACTTGGCTTTCAGGCAGGAAGGACTGGCTTGGCTGATCTTCCGAGGCTCACAGGGCGGGACCCTGGGGAGAATGGAAAAGGAGAGAGGAGGGGCCTTTGGTGGACTGGACTTTGGGGGTTATGTGGAATGTGCTAGGAAGGGGAGGCTGTGGCGTTCTTCAAGCAGGGTCCTGCCTCTCGTGCTTTCCAAGACAGGCCGCTCTTCATGGCGGCCTGGACTTCCCAGAGCTCCCACTGGTACCTCAGTTGAAATCACTGTGCCACCTGGTCCTGCCCTCTCCTCCTATCTTCCTGGATTCAAGCCTTCACTGTACCCTGAACATCCTTGGTCCTCTGCTGATTCTTCCTCCAAAGCACAGGCCCCAGGACTGAGAAAGTGCATGTATTTGGAAGTTATCCATGAATTCATTGAAAGCAGACATAGTCCCCACTGTGAGGGTCTTTTCCCTTGCTTGTCTGTGCTGGATTTTCCACCACCAGCTACAACAGTTACCTCATGTGGCAAGGGCTCTGGGAACTTAGCCTCACCTGAGCGGGACAAACATAGTGACAAACTGGTTGTCCCTGAGCTTGAAGGTTGTCACCCGTATCTGGATGGGGCCCCATCGTCCCTCCTGAAGGTGTGACCCAGCAAGCTGGGGATGGACGACTTTCCCTGAAACTGTAGGACTAGTGACAGCCAGGGCCAGCCCTCTCCCATCCCAGATATGGCCCCAAGCCTCAGTCTCCCCACATGCACAGAGAGAGTTGTCCCCACCTGGAGGGTCCCGAGGACCACTGGAGAATGTGAAGTCTTTGTAGGGCTGGCATTGGGCTGGGCACCCCATTCCTTGCCCCTACCCATGCGAACTGGTCCTTCCCGGCCTGGGTTCCCAGTCACCCTCTCCTTCCCCTGGCTGGGCAGGAGACAGATCTTGTGAAAAGGCAAGTTGGGGCCTGGGACTTGAGGGAGGAGCCCTCCATGCCTTCTTGGGCCTTGGGCCTGGGTCTGAATCATCTCCAGCAAGGCGAGAGCTATCCACAGGAGCTCCATCCGGGTGGAGGAGGCTGATGCTAGGCAGGGGAGTCCTGGGTAGCTGTGACCTGGCAGGTGAGGCCTTGGGCTCAGGCTGTCACTGAGCTCACACCAGATCAAAGCTGGCAGCTCCTGTCTCCACATCCAAGAGGAGGGAGACTGTACCCCTTTGGCTTCCTCACGACTGAGCCACCTCAGCTGCCAAGGTAGTGCGCTATCTCACAGTCATCTCCCAGCCCTTGCTGCCCCATCGCCTGCCTCCTATGCTCTCGGTGCCCCGCACTGTGTAGGAAAGCTAGCACAGCTCAAATCTGGGCACGACAACAGCAGATACCTGTCGGGATCCGCTGTGTACCAGCCTAAGAGGCCACCCCAGAATCCACCCACACTCGCCTTCTTGGTCTGTTGGGCACAGGCCCTGCATCCACTCCTACCCCCTGCCTGGGAGCAGATTTAGCTGTTCTTTGGGCTAGGCAAAGAGGGACAGAGTGTGCTGTGCCCAAGCTGGCCCGGGGCCACCTACTCAGGCCACAGGGACAAACTGGGCCATGGCCACTCATGGGGCTACTCCTCCTCTGCAGCACTTTGCCCACCCCTGACCTCATCCTTGGATGGAGCCCTCAGCTGGCCCTGACGCCACCAGCCTCTGGCAGCGGTGGATACCTGAGGACCACAGTCACAGCTGGCCTTGTTGACAGCTGACTTTCCATCATAGAAGAGGGGATGGGGAGGGTCATGAGACCCTTACCTAAGTACCTAGGCTCTCCTCCTAACCGGCTGTATACAATTCTTTCCTAATTGCATCTGACTCCCAGGTCTCTGAGCAGGGCAAGGGTTCAGACTTTCCTCTTTGACTGCTTTGGGTTCACACTCCTGTCAGGAACCTCGCTCGGGCTCTGTGGGTAACTCTGTCTAATAACTCATTGGTTCCCCAGGGGGGGAATCCAGGAGTCACGGTTTGTCATTGGGACCTTAGGGGGGGCAGATGTTGCTTGGTCTACCCCTACTCCAGTTCCTGGTGTTGAAGAAGTGTCCTTCCCAGAACAGGCACGGTAGTGTCACTCCTAGTCCTCCCGTTGTAGGGTCCCTCTCATTTCTCACTGTCCTCTGGGAGGACCTCGATGCATGTAGCCTGTGTTTCGGGTGAGAATGGGACTCTGCCCTTACTGGATGACGGCGTCTTCCTACTGTTGCCTCTTCCATATGTGTTTTCTTATTCGCTAGCTTATCTACATCAGAGTGGCACTCAAGGATGCTATCTGTTCTTGGGGGTGTAATTTTGTACTTCCTTACTCATTGTGTTGCTTAAATTGTTTCAATACTGGCCAGAGGGAATGCATGAATGCTACCTTTGCGGGGAAGAGAGCAGAAGGAAAGTATGCAAGTGGCATAAAGCATAGCAGAGAATTCAGACATACTGCCTCTGCTCCGGTGTGGTGACACTCCCTGTGACACAACTCCATCTTTGTAGGTTTGGGTTTTATAGGATTTTTGATGCTATAATACACATGTGCATGCAGGAAACCTTCAGCACGACAGTGAGATAGTGAGTGTGGTGATTTGAATAGCAATGGCCCCCCTGATTCATAGGGAACTGCGTTACTGGTGTGGCCCTGTTGCAGTATGAGGCCTTGGAGGAGGGAGTGTGTCACAGGGTGTGGGCTTTGAGGTTTCGGGAGCGCAAGCCAGATCTACGCCATGCTTTCCTCCTGGGCTTCAGATCTGGATGTAGAGCTCTCAGCTACCTCTCCAACAGCACATCTGCCTGCACGGCCACCATGCTTCCTGCCAGGATGGTAATGGACTAACCCTGAACTATAAGCCAGCTGCAATGGAATGTTTTCCTTTATAAGAGTTGCCGTGGTCATGGTGTCTCTTCACAGCAATAGAGACCCTAACTAAGACAGTGAGTATGCCTGCCATTCCACAAAGATTCCTTGATCAGGAGGCAGAGGCAGGTGAATCTCTGTTAGTCGAAGGCAAGCCTGGTCTAGGTAGTGAGTTCCAGGCCAGCTACAGAGTGAGACTTTGTCTTTAAAGAAAAAAATAGTCCTTGAGTTGGGGCTGTTGCGATGACTCCGTGGGTAAGGGGATTTGTTGCTCTTCCAGGGGACCTGAATTTGATTCCCAGCACCATGTCAGGTGGCACATGACCACCTGTAACTGTACATTCAGAAGATCTAACAGGGCCTCGGCGGATGTCCCTCTATCCCCACACACTCAAAAGGTAAAAATAAAGAGTTTTTAAAAGGTTCCTTGGGATGGGAGAGATGTCTCGGCAATTAAGAGCACTGGCTGTTCTTCCAGAGGACCCCTGGTTGATACCCAGCACCCACATGGCAGCTCACAATCCACTGAAACTCCAGTCCTGGGTAATCTAACACGCTTTCTGGCTTCTGAAGACACTAGGCACGCAAGCAGCGCACGGATATACATGCAAAGCAAAACACCTATACACACAACAAATTTTTTAAAAGATTTCTTAACCTATCTTGGTGATCCCACCACCTTCCACTGCCCCCAAACCACAGGAGTTTTCAGCCCCTACAGACCAGTTTGCACTGCCCCTAAGGGGAGCCATATTATACATGTCCCGATTGCCTTGATGTTCTCACTCAGCTCGGTGAACCCAAGTGCCCTCTAGCATCTACAAATACAGGGTGTTACACTGTGCCCCCCTTCCACACCAATCACCTTTCATCAACGGATGGCCGTGGGTATTATTTGCAGTTTGGGGCCATCCCATAAAAAGCTATCAGGGACATTGAGGCTCAAGCCTTTGAAGGGCCACATGCTTACCTCAGTCACTGGAAAACCCAGAGGAGAAACAGAGAGACACAATCGGGTCCCTGGTCCATCCAAAACCACGGGAAGGGAGCAGGAGCCCACAATATACTCAGATCATTTCTCTCTACTGTAAAGGCTTAGGCAAAGTTGTCACGGCTTATGGATCTCCTGTCTGATGCTGACCCATGCTGAGTGAGGGTCCACATCATAAGGGACCACTCTCTGAGCCACCCTTGAGAGGTGTGAACCCCATGCCTATCTGACTCTCCAGGTGGCCTTAGCTAGTTGCAAAGGGAACAAAACTCCATAAGATGACAACCAGGGGCTGCCACCAAGCCAGAGCAGAGGCAGCCTGGATTCTCCACCACGGCCTGACTTGGGTGCACCCAAGTACCTCTTTCTGCTCTCTCCCCAAGGGCAACCACTGCCGTATCACCCTCGCTGACTCCCTGAACAGCCCCGTGCTCCATTCTCCAGCTCGGGACAGGGTTATGAGAGACCAAAAACTTGAAGCAAGGTGCCTTTTTTTCAGAGCCACACAATTTAAACACTGGTCACATAGAAGACCCAGGAAAAGTCCCCTCCCAGCCAAGGGGCAGTAAGCCTGAAGCACTCTGGAACACTGCAATTCTGAACCACATCCAGGCGGTCAGGAAGAGGCCAGTTGGCCCTTCTGGCAGTTCCTGGCCCTGGATCCTGAGGATGTCCTGTTTAACCTGGTCAACCCCCTGTACTGCCCAGGCTCTGCCCAGGGTATCCCAAGGCTGCAAGGGTACTGTGTCATGATGGCATTGATGCCCACTGCCCTAGGAGACAGGGAGCAGAACAGAAATCACTTTAACCCTAGGCCCACCTCCAAGGCCACCATGAGCACCTCGATTTGTCTCTCCTTGGTCCCAGGTCTAAGTGGCATCCTCTGGGTCTGTCACAGGATCTGAATCTCTATGACAGTCTCAGGCGTCTCTGGAGGAGCCCCCAGACCTAGCATGGAATTATGTAATTGCACATCTCTGGCGCCCCCGCCTGGCCATCATCTTACTCACCAAGAGGTTCCAGAGGACTGAAAGAAACCCACACTTAGGCCCTGACTGTTGCTGCATCCTCTATCTGAGCCCAGAAGCCAACCTCCTTCTCGCTCTCCTGCCCAACCTCTTAGACCCGTTGTCTCTTCCGAGAGGCTACAAGTGGCAGGCAGTGGGCTGTTTGAATAGTACAGTTTCAGTCACAGTGGTGACAACCATAGGACGGCAGCCTCAGGACTACATACAGCCTGGGGGATCTCAGGGTCAATGCCCTCCATCGGGCCATCCTTCCTGGCCACCAGGCTTGGATCGAGCTGAGCCCCTAGTTCCCCCAGACCACAGCAGTGACCAGCACAGGGATTCTTCCCTGACCAGCACTCTGACCACAGGCAAGCCAAGCTAATCAAACACACTGTCTAACCCTGAGAGCCCCCAGTGATTGGCATGCCAGGGAACCGGGACCTCCCACTCTGCACCTACCCCACTCTGATAAAGGCAGGGTAGGCCCTAGCCTCAATCCAAGGGACCAAGGAGAAACCCTCGGCTAGGGACTTGATTTTCCTCCAAAAGGTGCTGCTGGGGTTGCCTGCCCCATTTCCCATTTCCATGAGTAGGTCCTGTCACCCACCCTTCAAACCTCCTCCCTGGCCTACTCCAGTCTGCCTGGCCCATGTCCTTCCAAGCCTCAACCTGAGCTTCCTCCTCTGCTTCTCTGTCTATTCTACACAAACTGTCAGCTCCCCAGCTGATTACCTACTTGATTGATTGATTGGTTGATTGGTTGATTGATTGATTGATTGATTGATCAATCGATCTTTCCCGAGACAGGGTTTCTCTGTGTAGCTTTGGAGCCTGTCCTGGCACTTGCTCTGTAGACCAGGCTGACCTTGAACTCACAGAGATACGCTTGCCTCTGCCTCCTGAGTGCTAGAATTAAAGACGTGCGCCATCCCCGCCCAGCACCCTACCTGATTTCTGCTGAGGGAGAAAGAGCTCCTGCCGGGCCTGATGGGGAGGAAGGGCTGTCCTGTCATTGGTTGATGTTGGGGACCTGCTCCCCCACTTCCTCCACTGGCCCCCACTCCAGAAATGAACAGTCTGAATGGCGAGGATTAGACCCCCAAGTCACGCATTTTAAGCATGGTGGAGATGTCTCCTATTCTCAGAGGCCTGGGAAATGAGATGGTTACAATGTTTTAGCCTTTCCTACAGACCAAGAAGAACAGAGAGACTTTTAGATCATGTCACCAACACATGTGTCCTGATCCTGCGGGTGTCCTCAGGGATAACTCTTAGGGAATGCAGTGAAGGCAGGACACGGGCAGTATTGGGAAAAGCAGTTTCTCCCCCAGGGCAGGGGTAGCCGTAAGACCTGGAGGGCCTGCAGGTCTTAGGACCTGGAAGGGAGGGACGAAGCAGAAGTGTCTTGAGGGTGGGCCGCTCTGTGGTGCCGGTTCAGGTCTTTCAGATGCTGGATCCCCTGTCTAGCTGCTCACTCCCACCTCCAGGAAACTGCAGGTTCAGCTCTGAGGCCCAGCAGGCCCAGGTGGCGATGGGAGGGGCAGCTCACAGGCCTGGTCCTAGTCCAGCTGACTCCATTTCACATCCAGCAAACTGCAGGCACAGCAATGAGGCCCAGCAGGCCCAGGTGGTGATGGGAGAGGCTGCTTATCGGCCAAAACAAAGAGACTTATCTGGCCACTTGGCCGGGCTTACGGGCTGGGTTTGTTGCCCAGGCAGCGCTGGGCAGTCTGTGTGACACGGGGTCTAGAGGTGGAACCTAGAAGGAGCCCACCCTCGTCTGGGTAACAACACCCACGCTCCAGTCTCACCCCATATCTAGACGAGGATCCCAGGCGAGACTAAAACATTTCCAACCCCCACACTGACCCATGTGCATTAACCTCCAACCCTCAGGCCAATCCTACACTAAGTACCCCGGCACTGTGACCACTGCCCGCCGTCTGGTACATGCAAGCGCCTACACACCCTGCATGATGCTGTCTGCATCCTAGGCCCCCACACACGCTCACCTCTGTGTACTCCCCCCCCACTCACTTCTGTGTACTCCCCCCCACTCACCTCTGTGTACTCCCCCCCACTCACCTCTGTGTACCCTGCCCCACTCACCTCTGTGTACTCCCCCCACTCACCTCTGTGTACTCCCCCCACCTCTGTGTACTCCCCCCCCACCTCTGTGTACTCCCCCCCACCTCTGTGTACTCCCTCCCACACCTCTGTGTACTGACCCCTGGAAGCCTGAGAGGGGCAGAAGGCTTCCTTTTTGCACCTCACAAACATGACTCCCTGCTTACTAGGCTGGGAGTGGGCCTCTGCTTTTCCTGTGTCCCCATATCCATGACTAAGAAGGGTGTGGAGGACCCTGTGGGGAGGAGCAAGCAGGCTGAGGCGTCAAACTAACACCCATGCTCAAGAAGGCCTCTGTGAAATGGTCCCTGTACTCAGCACAGCGTTAGTCCTGTCTTCCAAGACTATGCAGACACATGCAGGGGGCTCTGGCCATGACATCCCCATCTTGAGAGAGACTGTTCTGGAAGAGGCGTAGGGCAATTCCCTGACAGCAATGCCAGACAGCCTGGCTGCTCTGCTTTAAGAGCAGGGGGATGGCTGATGGCTATCTCCCCACTGCTGGATTCCAGGAGTTGGGGAGCCAACTGGTGTGGGAAGGCCCTCCCACTCCATCGCCCGTTCACAAGCTTGTTTCCTGTCTGGTCTGCTACCTTTCAGCTCTGATTCCCTGAGTACATAGAGATGTGAAGGCCTCATATGACTGTTTGGGGTCTCCATACCATCTCTCATCGCCAACAGGAAGTTGGGTTTCTGCTTCAGAATAGGAGACGATGCTCACTATGTAACTGGGGGCACCTTCACTACTTCCGTGCCTACTAGTGAAGGTCACGGGACACCAACAACCCAAATGTAAAGTCAGTGAAGGTAAGGTCTTCTGGAAATGAGGACTTGTGAGGGGTTAAGGGGTAGCCCAGTATGGAGGACATACCTAGCACATGTGAGGCCCTGACTGACTGGTTCTGGTCTCAGCATCACTAAATATGAACCAAACAGTGCCACTGGGGCTCTAGCTGGGGCAGAGGACACCTGGAACTAATTTAGAGGCTGGCCTGCAGCTTCCCACTCTCCAAAATGTAGAGTTGGATGACGCTGAGTTTGGGAAGAAAAGAATGTAAAATAAAGGTTACAACGACCGGAGGCTGAGCAGTTCCTGTGACATCTGCAGGCCATCTGCCACACCAGGCCCTATACATTGTCTCCTGTATGTTGACGAGGAATCAGTTGGGGATACAGGCCAAAACATGAAACCCCCAACTGTGTGAGGGATCACGGCCTCTCTCTGGAGTTAAAGGTCTGTGGCTGTTCAGATGTGTGCTTCAGAGAGACGTGCAACACACATACACACACGGGCATGGGCTTGTGTGTGTGCACGTGGGCACCCGTGCGCATGCGTATACACACACACACACACACACACACACACACACAATTCATGGCCAAGGGCTAGTCCACCTGTTGGGAGACCCTGGTTCTTTACACAGAAGGATTCTTTTTTTTTTTTTTTTTTTTTTTTGGTTTTTACGAGACAGGGTTTCTCTGTATTGTTTTCGAGGCTGTCGGTCTAGCCCAGCTTTGAACTCACAGAGATCCGCCTGCCTCTGCCTCCCAAGTGCTGGGATTAAAGGCATACGCCACCACCGCCTGGCCTGTGTCACTACTTTTCTCATTGCTGCGACAGAGAATCTGAAGCAACCCAACAAAGGAGAGGGTTATCTCAGCTCCCGGTTCAAGGACTACATCCATCAGGGTGAGGAAGAACTGGAGCAGGAACCTGAGGCAGCTGACCGCCTTGCATCCACAGAGGGGAGGCACTGGAGTGATCCATGACACTCCCCAGTTCTAGCTCCTCCCTATCTTGTCCGAGATGCCAGTTCATCTATCCATACGTCTGCCCATCTGCATACCTATCCGTTTATACCCGTCTACCGTCCTCCAGTCGCTGGCCACGCCTCAGTCCAGTCACACAGTACGACCAGTGTCCGTCACCTTCACCACAAAGGGTGCCATCTTGGATACAATTAAGGATAAAAGAGACCGTGCCTCCCTTGTAGAGTTTGACTGGGGGGGGGGTCAGATATACAACAGAATGCTGAATTGTATCCCCCAGGCTCTACATGTGGTATGCCTTGAGACTAGGATGGGGGTTGGTCTTATTGGTGTCATCAGGCTTCTATGTATAACTCTATATGCTGTTTGCCCTCTATCGAAGATTATGGAGTCATCTCCAAGGATGGCTTTGGGCCATGATTTGCTCTGCCTGTCTATTGGGGCTGTCTATATACACTTAGGCATGGGTGGGGCCAGGCAGTGGCCTGCTGTTGTAGACTGGATAAGGCAAGCATTGTACTGACAACCTCTTTACTGGGGCGCATTTGGAGCTGGATTGCTTGGTTCCTGGGCCCGCTGCTTTGGCCCCTCGGTGCCTCTCTATTTCTGAATGGCTTTCCTAGGATGGCAGGCAGTCTCCACATCCCATACTCTGTCCCTTCTCCAGCCTGGGGCATCGGCATCAAGGCTTCCTTCTGCTCTGGGGCCCTGACTGCTCCTGCCGGCCACCTGAGACCCAGTGCCCCAAGGGCATGCCCGGGACCTACGACACTCATCATGTTGCTCCCAAAGCTCTGCTAGGTCCAGGTGGCCTGTGATCTCACACAGCTAGTAGTCAGGGGAGGTGTGGAGTCTAGGTGTGGGGGTTGAGGAGCCAGTTTGGGGGTGCTCAGAGGATGGCCATCATGGCCCTGCAGGGTCAGAGGCCCGTGCTCTCCCCACCCCATGGTCACACTGGTCATTTCTGGAGTCACAGGCAGCGTGTTTATTTGTGCTGAGAGCAGACGCAGGGTGAGGCTGCGCTGGCAGGAACCATCCCGTTCTTCAGCAGAGCTTCTGTTCAGGTACCCAGTCTAATGGGGTGGGGACAGAGTGTTGGGACGGTGGATAAAGAAGAGGAGCAGGGGAGAGGCTTGGGAGGGACAAAGGCAGGCAGACTGGAAGTTGGGCAGGGCTCCAGAGAAAGGGCTAGGAGGCATGCCCCTCAGAGGGGACCTCTATTGCCAGTCTGGGGTCCTCCAGAAGCCCCTACATAGCCCTGTCTGTCCCTGCAGGATCCTAGACTCATGGTATGACACAATTAGTGTTAATGTTGGTGTAAACATGTACATGATCCCATATCCATGTTGTATAGGATGTGACCCAGGTATGGTGGCACAGGCCTAAAATACCAGCACCCAGGAGACTAAAAAAGAGAATTGTGATTGCCAGACCAGCCTGGGCTATACCCCAAGTCTCCATTGTTGTGGAATATTTTTTAAGGTGTGTTGCATTTGTTTATGCTGTGGAACATTTGTTTAATGATGCAAAGATGTCTTGCATTCTTTTTGTTTTTGTTTTTTGTTTTGCGAGACAGGGTTTCTCTGTATTGTTTTGGAGGCTGTCGGATCAGCCTGGCCTCGAACTCACAGAGATCCGCCTGCCTCTGCCTCTCGAGTGCTGGGATTAAAGGCGTGTGCCACCACCGCCCGGCGATGTGTTGCATTCTTTCATGTTGCATTTGTTTAACTCTGTGAAGCTGTGTTACTTTTGCCTAAAAGACCTGAACGGTCAGGGCTAGACATGGCTCAGAGGTTATGAGCACTGATTACTCTTCCAGAGGACCAGGGTTCAATTCCCAGCACCACATGACAACTCACAGCTGTCTGTAACTCTGGTTCCAGGGTATCTGGCACCATCACACATACATGCAGACAAAACATAAAATTAAAATAAACAAAGAGCTGAATGGCCAATAGGGAGGCAGGAGAATGGAGAGGTGGGGCTGGCAGGCGGAGAGAATAAATAGGAAGAGAAACATGGGAAAGGAAAACAGACCAAGATAGAACAAGGAGAGGAGAGCGCTAGGGGCCATCTATCCACCCAGTCATGGAGTAAGAGTGAGACAGAGAAAGATAAAAGCCCAGAGGTAAAAGGCATACAGGATAGTTTAAGTTAAGAAAAGCTGGTTAGAAACAAGCCAAACTAAGGCTGAGCATTCATAACTAAGAATAAACCTTCGCGTGTATTTATTTGGGAGCTGAGTGGTGGGCCCCCAAAGAGTAAACGAGTGAAAAATAGTCAACAGCATCCTAATCAAAACGACAAGGGTGCAAGATGACCGTATCTGTGTGTGAGCATGTGCCTGTCTGCATGTTTCTGGGCACATGCTTGGGTGTACAAATGTGTCTGGGCAGGTGTGGACTGGAGGAGAGCATGGCGGGGAAAGTCCTTGGACAGGGTGGGGGTTGGAGATCCTGATCTGCCCATGACAGGAGTGAGGCTGGAGACAGGACTCCGCTCTGAAGGCCCTTGGCCTTGGGCTCTCGGAGACTTTCCTGCTGCAAACAGGCTGTCCAAATTCTCGAACTTCCCTGGATGAACTCCAGTCTCCTGGGAACAGGGAACTATCCTCCCAGGACAGGAGAAGCAGTGTGGGGAGGGGGCAGCCTGGGATAGGGGCACGGGGTTGGGAGGAAGTGGCCTGGGACTCAGATCAAGAGCCCTGAGCGCCTCACTTCTGACTCAGGCTAAACTCAGTGAACAAGCTCTTGCGTTTGGACCCTGGGACTACAATACCCCGAGGATGTGCAGTGCCCTCCTGGAGAGGGGCCATGGGACTTGTGAAGACTGGGGAAGGTGCCGCCATTGTGTCCAGGTCCCACCCCGTTTTCCCATCACCCACTGCCCACAGATCCATTACCGGTCACATCGGGGAAGATGAAGTTATTCTTTGTGAGCTTTTGGGCTTTGCCAAAGCAGATGAACCTTTCTATAATCTTACGAGTAAGCCTCCAGTTTCTACCTGTGGATGGAAGAGCACAGCATGGCTCTCAACACTCGGTGGTGAGGTATCTGCCTCCAAGCCATCCCCAACCCAGGAAGCACCACCCTGACCAGGGTTCTGCACAGGGCCCAGGGAAGCAGGGGCTCACCCAGAAGGCTGACTCTGGTGATGGTGTAGCTGCTCGTTTTTCTGAGGGACAGCACCAGGGAGAAATTGGTATAGTCGGTCTCGATCACCTGTACGTCTTCTTTGTCTGCCCCAGACCCTGAGGGACACACATGTAAGATACCCAAGGCAGCTGTGGCCCCTCCCACCCACCCCTCTCTCACCTTTGTTTTCCACAGTGAACTGCCCAGGCTTGGCTGTTGGGATCAGGGTGTAGGACCAAGTGTCACAACGCTTGCCCCTATGGGAGGGATAGGCAAGGAGGGAGTGGGGGGGAGGCAAGGGGATAAGGAAGTCAGCCAGGCCCACCCTGATGGACCACACACACACACACACACACACACACACACACACACACACACACGAACGCACGCACGCACGCGCGCGCGCGCACACACACACACAAGCCTTTTAAAAGACCTACACTCCAGAAGGATGCACAGAGCTCTCCACCTCCCCAGGCCTCCGCCCTGGGGTCCTTCCAGTTACTCTGTACCCTTCCTGGGAGCCTGGCTCAGTGCCATAGGAGTGATTCTTGCTCAACCCAGCACTGGTCCTCAAATCCACAGGGATTTGCCATGTCAAAAAGAAAGTTTCTGGGTATCTGTAGATAGCCTCCTGTGGCACCCAAGCCAACAGGCTCCAGAAATGGACAAGAACAGACTCCAGGTAAGGGCTGCCTGCCACTGTAAAGATCCTGGAGGACAGGCAGAACCAAGACAGGGACGGAGAAAGAGGTCCCTGGCCTTACAGGAGTACCAAAAACCCGTTAGCCTTCTGTCTCCAGAGTGACTAACAAGATGGTTCCTCTCTTGTATTCAGCCCATCACTGGGTTGGGCTTTTGCAGTGGTCATTAAGCAGGCTGTGCTAGACATGGTCTCTAGATGTGTTTCCTCAACCCCACGCAGGGCTCCTAGAACACAGCCCTGAGTCCTTGACTGTTTGGGCAGGAAAGGCACCCTACTCACCGAGTCATGGAGTTGGTCACCTGGAAATAACTGTTGTTTTTTAGCTCAAACGAGGTGATGTAGGGATTCAGCAAGGACCGGTGCTCAATGCTGTAGGTGTTGCCCGCCAAACCAAGGACAAACCACTCCCCCTGAAACTGCATGGCTGGTGGTGGGCATAGCTAGCCCCCTCCCACCACACCCTGGGCAGCCCAGTCCAGCTGGGAGCCCCTCCTCAGGAGGCTACTTCAGGCCAGCTCTGCATCGATGATGCCGGCAGAATCCCGAATCTGCTTTTAATCTAGCAGGTAGGTGGTGGCCTTGGTCAGTAGCCATGTGGCCTTCGCAAGCCTCTGTCTCTGTCCACAGAGGGAGCAAACACAGGCAGTGCAGACGGTGCTGGGGGGTGGTCGTGGGCTCACTCAGGAACTCTGGGTTCAGGCTCTGCCCTGGCCTCCCTGTGCAGTGCCCACCCCCTCTCCACAAGCTGGGACCCTATCCAGCTGCAACCTGCGTTTTCTCCTTTGAAAGAAAGCCCTGTACCTGGTCATTTTCAAAGTTCGTCAGCTGGGGAAAGCCTTGAGGCGTGGCTGGATTCAGGCCCTCCAGGATTTGGGGAAGGGTGAGGACCAGCCACAGAATCCACCAAGGGCCCATCATAGCAGTGACCAGGCCCCAGAGGGGCAGACAGCGCCTGACTGAGGAGTGACTATTGTTGAAGCTTGCTCAGAAACCTACCTGTCTTTTCATGACGCACCTGGCCAATGCTCCTCCCTGGGAGCGTGGCAGACCAGGTGGGTGTGGAGGGAGGGCAGGGCTGACCCTCCTCAGACCCTAAACACCTACCAGGGTCTCTTGGGCCCCAGCCAAGGAAAAGAAAGCCTGCTGGGTCCAGCTGGGACCAGCTGGGGCTGTCTTGTGACTCCAAAAACCTTCTCTCAAGTGGTTCAAACATCTGCCCACGTCTACCCTATCTGACCTTCATGCCAAAGAACAACTTGTTCTAGGCAGGGGTCAGGGTATCCTTAGCTTTCACAGCTTTTTACCCATGGATCTGGCCTGACAGCCTCCAAGCAACTCCATAGCCGCCCCCCTGCACACCCCCAAGTTCTAAAACCAGTGTAGCATAAGCACTGACTGTTCACTTGCAGAACACAGAGCTGGTAAGGGGGAGAGGGAACCCAGGTAGGAAGTACTGGGGTATTTCAAAGGACCTTCCATGCAGAGGGGAGGGGAGTCTCATTCTTTGACAGCAGGGCCCTATGGGAGCAAGGTCTATGGGAGTGGGTCCCTAAGGAAGTGGGGTCCTATCGTTGCAAGATGCTATGGAGCAGGACCCTATGTAGGATCCTGCTGGAGAGATAGGTGCCGTGCTCTCCCTGGTCACAGGCCGTTGACTTGAGAGACAAGCTGTGCAAACTTAGTGTAGGTGGCTCCTGTCTGAGCTTTTCTGAAGGAGGTTCAGAGCCATCTCAGCCTGTTCCCTGTGCTGTCTTTTCTGCAGGGCAGGACACTTAGAAGACTTGGAGAGCAGAGCAAGAACAGACCAGGCCTCCAGGCCCCGCCCACGCCTATGGAAACGTCACAAAGGGGACTTGCCCTCAGGAGATAAGCCCTATGGGAGATGCAGGGCAAGGCCCTAAGAAGCGTCCTGGCTTTGCTCTTTCCTAGGTCTCGGAGGCTATTGCGCCTATGTACTCCATTTCCCCTTCAGGGCTGTCCTGAAATGAAGGGTGGGCAGCCCAGTGTGCTATACTAGATTTATGGATACAACAGTACTGTCATCCTGGGACCACAGGGGATCTGGGAACCTGTGTTGTGTCCTGAAACTGAGCAGGGCCTTCTCCAAGACCAGGGTTAGGGGGAGGGGACAGGTGATGGATGACACAGATGCCCATGCAACACTTGAAGAAGCAGACAGCGCAGGGTGAGACCATCCCACTGGCAACCCTGGCACCCTGGGAGCATGGCCCTTCTGATCCCTCTTCTCTGAGCCTCATCCCTGCCCAGGGCCCCTCCCTTGCTCTCTTTCTTCCTCCTACCTGTCCTCCTCAGCTGCCTCCATCTTTCCTTCCGACAGGGACAGCCAAAGCAAACCACCTTCTATCTGCCCTGTCGCCCCTCTCTGGGAAGACTCCTGAGTGCTGCCCTCTGCTCCCTTCCCTCATCCCGAATTCTTTCCCAGGACACTGTCCTGAGTCGCAGGAGGCCTCCTGGAGGACTGTAAACAGTGTTCATATGCAGGGGCTATCTGTCCATGGGGCATCTGGGTGAACAGGAGGGCAGGTGCACTACTGCTCGCTCCTGCCTGTTGAGAAGGGGCACAGCACCTCACTTCCAGGCAAGACAGGACAGGTCACCTGCTCTGTAGCCCCTCCAGGTCAAGTCCTCTAATCCTGTGGTCTCAGGCAAGGTGGTCAGCTACATATTGGCTTCTACAGAATTTTAAACTTATTTCTTCTTAGATATTTTAAATTACTTATTACAATTCAAAGTTGATATAAAATTATAAGAAACATTTATGTATGAATATGTGTATGTATTGTATACCATACACATGTATGTATGTAGGTAGGTGTACAAGCATGAAAAGCAAGAGAACATTGGGTATCCTTTCTGCATTATTCCATTGAGACAGGGTTCTCACTGAACCCGGAGCTATGCTGGGATGCAGCAAACTTGTCTGTGTCCAAACCCTTCGGTGATGGGGTTAAAGATAGGACTGACCATGCCAGGATTTTTTTTCAAGACAGGGTTTCTCTGTGTAACAGCTGTCCTGGAGCTCTCTTTGCAGACCAGGCCGGCCTTGAACTCACAGAGAACCACCTGCCTCTGCCTCCCAAGTGCTGGGATTAAATGCATGTGCCACCGCTGCCCTGCATGTCAGGATTTTTACACTTGTTCTGGAGATCCAAACTCACATCTGCATGATTGTGCAGCAGGCATTCTTACTCACTAAGCATCTCTCCAGTCCCTATAACAAATATTTTTTTTTTGGTTTTTTTTTTCAAGAGAGGGTTTCTCTGTGACTTTGGAGGCTGTCCTGGAACTCGATTGGTAGTCTAGGCTGGCCTCGAACTCACAGAGATCTGCCTGCCTCTGCCTCCCGAGTGCTGGGATTAAAGGCGTGCACCACCAACGCCCGGCCCCTATAACAAATATTTTAAAATGAAAAAGATATGCATGGGCAGTGAGATAGCTCAGCAGGTAGGTATTTGTCTCTAGGCCTGTCATTCTGCATTTGATTCCCAGAATCTAAGAAAAGTGGAAGGAGAGAACCAGCTCCTGCAAGTTGCCCTCTGACCACACAAACATCCCCCAGCCCGTCAGGCACACATGCACACACACGTACACAGTGTCCTCAGGTTGGCACAGAAGCTATTGACTGCATGGTCCATGCTTAGCTCATGAAGACCCACAAGGCAACAAGGTAGAGATTCAGAGGGCTGGGTCTTGGCTGTGTGAGCCCAAGCCCTACCAGAGTGAGGCCATCGCTTTCTGTTAGGGAACACAAGACAAGAAGGAAAAGGTGTTCCTGGGGCCAGGGCAGTGAGGCCAAGGCCAGGCCCGCAAGGGCAGGGCGCTCTTGTGAGCTCTACTTTTTTTTTGTGGATAGGATAGTCTCCTGAAATTCCTCCTCCAAAGCCGCTGGTAGTCCACCCTCCTTCCGTCTATATTCCCGCCCTCCCAAAGTCTAGCTGCCCAGAGATCCTGGGTGATCAGAGCCTCCTCTGGGGCAGCCGTGGTCCCAAGAGCAGCCACCCACCCCTATCGCTACAGCTCTCATTCCTCCAAAGAGCCAGCAGACAAGACTTCCTCTGACTTTGCTCTAGGAGTCATACAGCAGTCTTGCTAGAACTAAATCTCACTTGGGGTGTCCTGGGGCTGCTAGAGGGGAGGACATGGCAGGCTAGGGAGACAAGGGGCTAGCCCACCTTTGTCTTCCTGTCATCAACAGACGGCTGAGCCTGGCCTTTAAGCGCCCAAGGAGCAAGGACTTGCCTAGTTTGTGTCCCTAGGTCCTGGGACACTTGAGAAATGCTTATCAAATGAATGCTGGAAGATGTCAGGCCACCAGCAAGGCAATGTCTGAGGCAGACGCAGGTGCAGATGCAAGCCCAGCTGTTTCTGGGATGATGCGCAGTTCCCTGAACTCCAGCCGTGGTCTTCAGAGTCAAGCAAAACATCCCAGGTCTGAAAAGAACAATGCTCCTGTCTAGAAGGGCCCAACGCCTCCCTTATGGGGATATACACAACTTGCTTCTGACTCCCTGCGGCTGGTAACTTTGACTACAGTCTGGGTAGGGGTTGCTGGGGGACAGCTTATAACAGAGGTTTGACCTACATGTTGAGAGCCCCATGCTCACCCCTAACTGGTCCATTAAGTAGGCTTCCTGTTCCCTGTTCCTGCGGTACAGTTTTCCGTTCTACATGCTCCAACTGTTCCCTCAAACCCACCCTGGTATCTTCCTAGCAAGTGCCCCTGGACCTATAGCTCTTTAGCCTCAGGGGTCAAGGGTCAGGAGGGGCTTAGAGGACTTGTTGGAAGGGTTATGTATGTCTCTAGAGAAGGCACCCTGGACAGGGCCCTGAGTTCCACTCCCATGGGCACGAAGCCAGCACAGTGGGCTGGGGTCGGGGAGTGAGGGAAGGCAAATGCTGGGCAGAGAAAGCCTTCACTGCAGAGGGGGAAACAGGGAGAGCAGGGATTTTTGCTTCTGGGCAGAAGGAGCCTTTTCCAGCCCCACCTCCCGTAGGGCAGAATCCTCAAATAGCCAGGGGGCCAGCTGCCTTCTCTCCCCACCTCAGCCTGGTGGAACTCCCATACAGGATGACAGAAAAGATCCACGGCCAAGCCTGATGTTTACTGAAAAGCCCCAGCTTCATTCATCATACAGAAATGTATGAAGGGGTTGATCCTAGGGGCAGACAGGAGAGACTCCGAGGTTCAGGGTGCTCAGAACTCTGGGGAGCCAGTCCACCGTCCACGGCTTCTCCTCCAGATGGCCTCATCTCGGGACCTCTGCAGTGGACACAAGCCTTAGCAGGGGCAGACAGAGCTGACCCTGACCTCAGCCCCCACTGCCCGGCCCTGCTGACGCCACTCACCGTTCAGGATGTGGAACTGGTCCGTGGTCTTGCAGAAACCTAGGGGCCCAGGCAGTAGTAAGGGGCTGCAGGGTGTCAGGCAGGAGGTGACTGGGCTGGGGGAAACTCACCATACTTGGGGAAGAAAAAGATCTGGTGTTCTGTTAGGTTGGCTCCCCTGACTCGCTGCTCAAACACATCCAGGGCAGAATCACTCACGGGCAATGAGCGGACTGCGGGACAGACAGGGTTTCTGTGGTTTCAGCAGGACAGGGTACCCAGGACACAACCAGGTCTGTCCATGCCCCATCTAATCCCCACAGCAGCCCCCCCCTCCATGTAGCTGCTCCTCCCAGGGTGCCTGCTGTCGAGAGTATTGGAATTGGAAGGGGATGGGGAGGGTCCATGTGCCCATGTGGGGTCACCCAGCCCTTCCAGGGTGCAAAGCACGAGGTCACGTGTGGGTAGAGAGCTAGCACGCACCGTACAGTTTCACAGACAGCTTCCTTGCCTTCTCCAGATACAGGATGGCAAAGTTCTGGTAGTCAGTCTCAGCAACAACCACATGCACTGGCGCACGGCCCCCTGGGGCTGACGGAGAAGCATAGTAGCAGCGTAGCAGCTCCTCACCCCTGCCTCCAGCCCTGCACCCTCTTGCTTGACATCCTTGCCTCACCTTGGAGCAAGAAGCGGCCAGGGACCCCTGTATCTCCAAAGAGCTGGCGTACCTGCCAACAGATCCCGTCTCTGGGGAAGGGAAGAAGGTGTGATATAAGGAGACACCCGAGGCTCTAGGAGCGCCAACCCAGGTGGAGCCTTATGAGATGTCTACCTAGGCTACAGAGGAGCTAGGGTGCGGTTTAGGGTCAAGAGGACAGGGTAAGGCACTGGGACTCACAGCTTTCGGAAGGTGCTGACAGCCATGGCAGCACCCTGAGGAGCCGTGTGCAATGTGGTGGCCTCAGCCCGGTGGCCCTGCTCCTGAAGAAAACGGCATGCAGAGCCCACAGCCACAAGCAGCCATGTCCCTGCGAACTGAGGGCATTGGGAGGGCTGAGGACTAACTCTGGGAGTGGGCACCCTGGGTCAGTCCTGTCACACTTTGGCGTTATCCCCTCCCCCCCTTCACTCCCAGCGTTTACCTGCTGAGCACTGAAACTGGCCTGGGCCTGAATGGTGCTGATGGGGGAGGCAGATCCAGAGAGCTTTCGAGCCCTTTGGGTCAGCGAACTGGTTGTCAAGAGCAGGGTGAAGAACAATACAGCCCTAGGGGACAGCATGGCGGGCCTGTCGGGGACAGTAGGCGACAGGAGAGGGAGGTGGAGGGCTTCACTGTCCCAGGTCAGAGTCCACTGTCCAGTACCACAGGAAGCACTGCCCAGGAAGTCTACATCTGTCTTCCGCTTATTGAACCCCTACCCCAAGCTAGGGTCCACCCCAGAACCTGGCCTTGCCGGAGCTTGGCATTGTGGACCAAGTGCAAAGTCTGAGTTGACTTCTGCACCCTGATTTCCACTTGAGGTCAGTGCTCAACCCTTTGCACGCCAGTAACTGGTCTTATCCCCACAGTCAACAACAACGCGCTCCTAAAGCTACTTGTTCCCAGCCCAGCAGCTGAGAGAGCCGGCCCAGAGGCTCGAACCCGTCCAGCTGGGCGGGGCTCGTTACTGCCGCCCTATGGAGCAGCCAGGAGCAAGTACTGTGCTACGGGCAAGAGCGTACGATCGCGCGGATCGCGCGCAGGCGCGTAAACACCGGCCCGGGGCCCGAGGCGCAGGCGCAAGAGAGGAAGCCATCGATGCCTCGGGGCTCGTGGCGTCGAGCCTGGCTCCTCCGGAAAGACGCGGAGGCGGGGGCTAGAGCGGCGGCGGAAGCGGGGCGCAGCGCAGCGGGCGGAGGCGCCGCGGTGAGTCCCGGCTTTGGCCCCGCCGTGCTCATCTGTGTCATCTGCCCTGTCCCTCGTCACCGGCCTTGTGTCCCATTACGCCCAGGCCTGCCGTCACCTGCCTCGTGCCGCCTTTGGTGTCCCTTACTCCCGGCACTGGCCTCCGGTTATTTTCCCGGGCCTTGTCCCGGTCACGGGCCTCGCCCTGCCTGGCCCTACCTCCACTGGCCTGTGCCACTTTCGCGGGCTTTGCCCACCGTCACCAGCTTTTTTCCAGCAATACCTACACACGTCAGCCTTTTGTCGCCTTATCTGGCCGGTAATGGCCTTGGCAGGCTGTCACCATCCTAATCCACCCGGCGGTGGATAGGTGAATGGAGGCGCTACTGCCGGTTCTAGCTAAGCAGCAAGCCTGGTTCCTGCCGTCCGCCCTGACATTCAGAAACCCCACCCACTCTTACCGCCCTCCTGCTCGGGCTCTCCCCTGAGTCCGCAAGGCAGAGGCCACTGGTCAGGAGGGGAGCCCCTTCTCAGAAGAAAGTCAGCTGGTCTCAAATCTTGGGGCAGCAGGGTCAAAGGCAGGGTGGGGTGTCCATCACTTGGTCCTTACTGGTAGAACTTGGAGCTGCCAGTTTGGGCAGCCCAGCCCTGTGTGCCTGCCTTGGTGCTCAGATGTGTCCCCGGGCACAGGAGTAAGCATGGCGAAGGTGTCAGAGTTCCCCACCTGGAAGGTATGAAGAGGGGGGCCACCTCCCACTCTTCAGGTTGCACTGGGCTTACCGTCTGGTCCAGCAAGTCCTTCGGCGCTCCTGGAGGATGCGACGTGGTCCAACATTACTGTCTGGGTGCTTCAAGAAGTGTTGGGTGGTACCCCCTCTCCCACCACACATGCTCAGTACAGTAGAATTCTTGGCTGGGCAGTTGGTGGGGCTGGAGGAACAGCCAGGGCCTGCCATGTCTGGAGGGCCAGCCCGTCAGTCTCTCTCTGATAGGTTTCAGGACCGTCTGGGCAGAATGTCACGATGGACGAGGGGGGCATGCCCCTGCTCCCAGACAGCCTTATCTACCAGATCTTTCTGAGCCTGGGCCCTGCAGATGTGCTGGCAGCTGGGCTGGTGTGCCGCCAATGGCAGGCTGTATCCCGGGACGAGTTCTTATGGAAGGAACAGTTCTACCGTTACTACCAGGTGGCTCGAGATGTGCCCCGACACCCAGGTCAGTACACACACACACACACACACACACACACACACACACACACACACACACACACACACAACCTGCAGGCCTCAGGGCAGGGGCTCACGGCTCCGGGACCTCACACATGGACCGTGTTGGGGGGGGGGGAGGGCGTCTCTGTGATAGTTGAGTCCTGATTGGTGAGCGGTGGGTTCCAGAAGCCCGCCAGTACAGCTCAGGGTAGCCATGCTGTCGGCTCTTGGTCTTTAGTAAGGGAGCCTCGCAGGCAGGAGTGACACTGTATTGCCCACAGCGGCCACGTCCTGGTATGAGGAGTTCCGGCGGCTCTATGACATGGTACCCTGTGTGGAGGTGCAGACGCTGAAGGAGCACACCGACCAGGTCCTGCACCTCAGCTTCTCCCACTCGGGGTACCAGTTCGCCTCCTGCTCCAAGGACTGCACAGTGAAGGTGAGAGCACCTCTCGCATGCAGAGAGGGTCAGGTAGGACCTGGACCACGCCACACCCCGAGCTGAGAGCAGCTCTAACCTCCAGCTCCAGGGACCAGCCCTCTGCATTGGTAGGGTGTGATGCGAGTGGGTGGTGAGGACCTAGGATGAGATTCTTGCCCGTGAGGACTCCGCACCCTCAGTGGGGAAGAGTCAGGACCTGCGGTGCTGCCAGAGCGAACTGGCCAGGTGATTACCGCGCAGCCCCTCCGGTGCAGATCTGGAACAATGACCTGACCATCTCGCTGCTGCACAGTGCAGATATGAGGCCGTACAACTGGAGCTACACCCAGTTCTCCCAGTTCAACCAAGATGACTCATTGCTGCTGGCCTCAGGGGTGTTCCTGGGGCCACACAACTCCTCCTCAGGCGAGATAGCTGTTATCAGCCTAGGTGAGTGTGGGCATCGGGTTGGGCTGCCTGCCCCATTGTGCCCTGTCAGCAGCATGCCCAGCTGTGGCCTTCCCCCCAGACTCCTTCGCCCTGCTGTCCCGCGTGCGAAACAAGCCCTACGATGTGTTTGGCTGCTGGCTCACAGAAACCAGCCTCATTTCAGGGAACCTGCACCGCATTGGAGATATCACCTCCTGCTCAGTGCTGTGGCTCAACAATGCCTTCCAGGTGCAGACTGGGGCAGGGACAGGCTGGGCAAGCAGGTGGGGCAGGGCGGAGAGCTGGAGGGGAAGGTGTGGGCAGGGCTGGGCATGGAAGGGCAGGTGCAGGGCCAGGGTAGGCTGCTCTCTAGGCTAGCACCCACCTGTTGTGGGCCTTGGCTTGTGTCCCACGTAGGATGTGGAGTCAGAGAATGTCAACGTGGTGAAGCGGCTCTTTAAGATCCAGAACCTCAACGCTAGCACCATCCGCACAGTAATGGTGGCTGACTGCAGCCGCTTTGATAGTCCGGACCTCCTGCTGGACGCTGGCGACCAGGGTGGGCTCCCCTGCCGAGTCTTTGACCTAGGTGGGGACAGTGAAGAAGAGGCCCCTGACCCGGGTTTGCACACCTCTGGTTCTGGCCGTGTCAAGGAGGGTTTGCGGCGCATGTGGGATAATGTGTTGGATGGACATGCACAGCTAACAGATTGTGCACTGGAGACCAAGGTGGCTGAGCTGCTGGCCCAGGGCCACACCAAGCCCCCAGCGTGTAGTGATGCTGACACCAGGAACAAGTACCTCATCTTCACCACTGGCTGCCTCACCTACTCACCACATCAGATCGGTAATGGTGGGCAGGGCAGACCTGGGAGGGTCAGCAACCGCTGTGGTGCTCCCCAGACCCGCAGGTCCATAGCACAGCTTGGGTCGTGCCCTGGGCTACAGCTCTGGCCTTGACACACTTGATTCTGTGTAAGAGTGGTGACAACCCAGGCAGCGGATTGGTTGGCAAGTGACCAGGTGGGCACCTGTGCTTGAGTCTAAGTGTAGGCAGTTTGTGGACCACTATGGCTGTGCTCTTGGATTGGGAGTCCTCTGGTGGTGATGTCCCTACAGGCTCTGGATGACCCCTCACCCTGGTCTCCATGCAGGCATCAAACAGATCCTGCCACACCAGATGACTACAGCAGGGCCTGTGCTGGGTGAGGGCCGGGGCTCCGATGCCTTCTTTGATGCACTGGACCATGTCATTGACGTGCATGGGCACATCATTGGCATGGGCCTGTCTCCTGATAACAGGTGGGCCTGGTGTGCTGGGTGGGACACCACAGATGGCCCAGATGGAAGAGCATGCTTGTACCTAACATGTATCCCTTGCTCAGGTACCTATATGTGAATAGCCGTGCCTGGCCTCCTGGCTCAGTGGTAGTTGACCCCATGCAGCCACCACCCATTGCAGAGGAGATTGACTTGCTGGTGTTCGACCTCAAGACCATGCGGGAGGTGAAGCGGGCTCTGCGAGCGCACCATGCCTACACGCCCAATGACGAGTGCTTCTTCATCTTCTTGGATGTCAGCAGGGATTTTGTGGCCAGGTGTGGGCTCAGGTGGACCCCAGGGCTTGGGTATGGGCTCCAACAGGTGGGTGTGGGCTCATCCAGATGCTATCCCACAGTGGGGCTGAAGATCGGCATGGCTATATCTGGGACCGCCACTACAACATCTGCCTAGCCAAGCTGCGGCACGAGGATGTGGTCAACTCGGTAGTCTTTAGCCCCCAGGAGCAGGAGCTCTTGTTGACAGCCAGCGATGATGCAACTATCAAAGCCTGGCGTTCACCACGCACTGTTCGTGTCCTCCAGGCCCCACGCCCACGCCCACGCCCCTTCTTCTCCTGGTTTGCCAGCCGTAGGCGCTGAAGGCATCAGTGACTTGAGCCATTTGAACCCACTGGGGAAAATGATACCCTGTGGTTCTTTACTGCACTGGGGCAGAGTAGCTCATAGCAGTAATGCCTTAGGAGGGGACAGCCTGACCCCCACACACTCACACGCAACCTGCTCACTTAGCCATCAGGCTCAGCACTAGGGTACTAGGGTAGCCCTTGTTGGCAGCACCAGAGATCCCATGTCAGCCTCTTGGCCAGCTCGGGGTGTATGGGACAGCAGAAGTCCTGTTCTTCACTTACCCTCTTCCCCAGGCTGCAGCTCACACAGCTCCAGGCTGACCACTGCCTGGTTACCTTTTATGCTCAGCAAAACCCACACCTTGGATATCCTGTACCCTGGGTGGCAGGCCATAGGCTCTGACCTCTCATAATTTGACTTGCGCTACTGATTGAGCGGCCTGCAGTGGACCACGGGTGCTGCATGTTGCACTCATTAACTGTTCGGGTTAATGAATAAACAGTTGGCAACAGCACATGCCATCTAGTCTGTTTATAGGGTGGGGCCCCAGGCTCTGCTGGCCAATGTCATCCTGGTGATGTCTGCCTCAGGGATCCTCCAGGAGGCTGAAGAGGAAGTGCTGGTTCAGGTGTGTATCCCTGGCCTTCAGGGATGCAGGAAGGTAGACACAACGAAGCCTCGTACAATGCCTGGGGTAGGGTGGGCTTTAACACAATCGGTACCATCAGAAGAGCTTCCAGGCAGGTATAGTGGTACAAGCCTGGAACCTTCGCTCCTCAGGGAACTGATGCAGGAGGATAGGGAGCTAAAAGCCAACCTGGACTACAGAACAAGTTCAGGGTTGACCTAGGCAACTTGGTTAGTCCCCAGCTTGGAAGAGTAAAAGAAAGCTTTTGAGGGAAGCCAGGAGGAAACAGTTGTGTAGAGGCTGGGGGGGCTCAGTGTGGAGCACGTGCCTTGCATGCCTTAGGCCCAGGTTCCCTCCCTAGCGTGACAAAAGCAACAATGATGATCATTCTACACAAGACCCTCAACCTAGGAGGTCAGAGCCTATGAGACTATTCTTGCCCTAGCCCAAATCCAACAAGTCCTAATATACTCCCGAGATGTTGTAGCAACTGCCTGGGAAGGACTTTGGATTTGTCTGATTTAAAGTAAAAAGAAAACAGTAGCACCTGTAAAACAAGCAATGCACTAAAAACAAACAAAACAGGAAGAAATCAGGTGCACATAGAAATTTAAAATTGAACTGTGGAAAACAACAGTAACGAACTACAAGTTCAAACTTTTAAATGTTAGGCTTCACTCGTCAAGGAGTAGACTGAGCATCATGGAGGGGCAGAAGCAGATAAAGAGCCAGAGGTGACAGCCAGTCAAGATGGCTCAGTAAGTAAGGGAGCCTGCCACCAAGCCTGACTTGGGTCCTTGGGACCCACATGTAAGAAGGAAAGAGCTGACCCCTACAATCCTCTCACCTCCTTATACCTGCCATGGTGTGTGTCTCCTTATGTACAACATAAAAATATAACTTTAAAAGAGGGGAGACACACATCCCCGTGAAACTGCAGCCCAGCAAGGGCACAGAGAAGCCTGACTCTTGGGGAGACAATCTAGTTCTAGAGTAGACAGAACATGTCTTGGGGCTCCAGCTCCCCAAAAGTGGCTGCAACCGACCAGAGCAACGGCTGAGAGTGTGGAGTGCGGGGCAGGAGGCAGTACTCACTCTGGACAGCACCCTTGGCATCCAGGCCTAACTCCATGCAGCTGGAGTCTGGAGTGAGCACTGATGGAGTGAGCTGCATGGAAGTGCCCTGCCTTTGCTGGGTCTCCCTTGAGCACCCTAGTGGTGGAGGGAGATGGCTACTTTGTCTTACAGTACAGTTCCAAGAAGGTGGGCATTGTGTTACTGCTCTCCCTCGATCCTCTTGTCGTAGGGAACCTACTGGGGTTCAGCCGAGGAAGGGCAGCACAGCTAGGTGACTAGAACCCCAAATATCTGGGTAAATGGCCAAATGAGGGGCCTGAGGGGAAGCTCAGGCAAGTGAAAAGAATCAATTTTAACAACTGCTGGTGGAGTTTAAGTAGGTACAGATAAAAAGAACACCATGAGAATTCTACATTTGAAGTAAAGTTCAAAATAACAACTCCGAGCAGACCACTGAAAACTTAAGTGCACATTTAAAGTCTTTTTATTTATTTATTTACTTAATGTATGTATGTTTGGTGCACAGTATTGTGTCTGCATGTGTCCCTGCAGGCCAGAAGAGGGCACCAGATCTCATTACAGATGGCTGTGAGCCATCTTGTGGTTGCTGGGAATTGAACTCAGGACCTCTGGAAGAGCTCTTAACCTCTGAGTCATCTCTCCAGACCCCCATATTTAAATTCTTAAAAATTTTTGGGGCACATACAGCACTTTTGGGGTTCAGAGGACAACTTGCAGAAGTTGGTTCTCTTTCACCATGTGGGTTCTGGGGATCAGACTCAGGTTCTGAGGCTTGGCAACGAGCACCTTACCCAGGGAGCCTTCTCGCTGGCCCTAAAGTGTATTTTTATCTTTGGGATAATAAAACTACTACAAAGAGGTAGTTAAAATGATAATAAACTAAAACAGAACACTAAAATGTTCAAATAACCATTCCATTATAGGTAGGCAAACCAGAAAACCAGTGGAACACAAAATCTAAGCATATCAAAAAGGATATAAAAAGAGAACCTTTTAATTTTTTTTTTGTTTTGTTTTTTGAGACAGGGTTTCTCTGGCTTTGGAGGCTGTCCTGGAATTCGCTCTGTAGACCAGGCTGGCCTTGAACTCACAGAGATCCGCCTGTTCCTGTGTCTGTCAAAGGCTCTCATCTTTATAAAGATACTGGGCCATGGATGGATTAGGAACCACTTTGATGACTTTATCTTAATTTGACTACCTTTCTAAGGATTCTACTTTCCATTCTGATGGCCTAGGAATTCTCTGGGGTAGTTAAGGGTATAGAATTCAGCCTCTGATAACGAACTAGCTGTATGGAACAGGTCTATGCAGAACATACTACCCACTAGCAGGACATACCCCTCCTACAGTGCCCAGAGAAAACCAAGTAAGACCACAGCCTGGGTGGGTTGCCAAGCAAATCCTAACACCTCCAAGCTTTTTTGTTTGTTTGTTTTTTCGAGACAAGGTTTCTCTGTATTGTTTTGGAGGCTGTCCTGGAACTTGCTCTGGAGACCAGGCTGGCCTCGAACTCACAGAGAACCGCCTGCCTCTGCCTCCCAAGTGCTGGGATTAAAGGTGTGTGCTACCAACGCCTGGCTGCCTCCAAGCTTTTTTAAAGACTGAATAGTTCTGTGTCTTAGTCCACTTACAAACCACCACAGCCTGAGTGGCTCATGGACAAGAGTTTATTTCTCACGGTTATGGAGGCTGTAGGTCTAAGGGCAGAGTGCTGCAGACTCAGTGCCCGTGAGGGCTGTTTCCTGGGTAATAAAGGCTATCTTCTGACAGATCTCACACGGTGGAGGCCTGAGTACACATTCCCAGGCCCACAAAGGTTCTAGTTTCATGATCCAATCATTCCCAAATACTCTCTCACTGGAGTCATGTTTCAACATATGAATTTAGGTGAGACAAAAATATCTGGTCTTGTCTTAGTCTATTTTGGCTGCTATACAAAGGCCACCTGAGACCAGCAAACATGTAACCAACAGTGTAACTGGCTCACAGCTGCAGAGAGGAGTCAAGGTGAAGGCGGCAGTGTGTGGTGAGAGCCTCACCAAACCACTGTCTGATACAGAGGACTGGAGTTCACCTTGTAAAACGGCACCAGTCTTACCCATGAAGGTGGAGCCTTTACCCCCTAATTTCCTCTAAATACTGTTACAGTGATCATTAAATTTCAACACAAGGGGTTGGAGAGATGGCTCAGCAGTTAAGAGCACTTCCAGAGGTTCTAAGTTCAATTCCCAGCAACCACAACTGTCTCTAGTGGAATCTGGTGCCCTCCTCCGGCATAAAGGTGTACATGCAGATAGAATAAATAAATAAACCTTAGCTGGGCTCACTGGCACATGCCTTTAATCACAGCACTTGGAAAGCAGAGGCAGGCAGATCTCAGCCTGGTCTACAGAGCTAATTTTAAGACAGCCAAGGCTACACAGAGAAACCCTGTCTCAAAAAAACAAAACAAAAAAAATGTTCCTTTTATCCAAAAAGTTTGCAAATCTTTTATTTTTTAAAAATTATTTTGCTGGGAGAGGTGACACATACCTTTAATACCAGCACTCTGGAGGCAGAGACAGGCAGATCTTTGAGTTTGAGGCCAGCCTGGTCTACAGAGCGAGTTTCAGGACAGCCAGGGCTACACAGAAAAACCCTGCCTCAGAAAACAAAATTATTTGTATGTATGGGTGTTTTGCCTTCATGCATGTTTGAGTATTGTGTGTATGCAGTGTCCAAGAAGGCCAGAAGAGGGCATCAGCTTCCCTGGTACTGGAGTTAGAGCTGTGACCTACGATGTGGGTTCTGAGACTCGAACCCAGAGCCTCTGGAAGAGCAGCCACTTAACAACAGAGCCATCTCTCCGCGCCCCATCTTCTATAAACTCCACTCTCCCTTTCATGGCCACAATGTTTGAGTCCTCTAATCAGCTGGCAACTGTCCCCCACCCCCCACCTCCGGCAGCATGGTCACTGGTGGCCTGGCTCCTGACACTATGAGGAAGCAGCCAGCCAGGCAGCCAGTCCCAACAGGCCAGTGTCAGGCCCCTGCACCGGGCCCTGCAGAACCACCAGCCCAGGCTTCCGTGGTACGAGGCTGGAGTCCCGCCTACCTGCGCTTCTCTCTCATCCCCCTGATCTCCCCTGACCCCACAACTGTGACTTGTACCAAACGGAAAATCAATTCCCAGCAGCTAGCTTCCCTACTCCAGATATTAAAGGCACAGAGTGAGAGAAGATACCTAGGTGAACTTCTGGTCTCCACATGCAAGTATACTACATGCACCCACAAACACATTAAAAAAAAACCCTCACACCAACAACTACATACAACGCATAATAAATAGGTAGATAAATATGAAAGACACAGCAGTTTCAATTTCTCTTCAGCGGGCTTGAATTTGGCAGCATCGCTATGCTTGTGCTCAGGCACTTACCAGGGCTACAGAGACAGAAGCTCTGTAAGACCATACATCCATCTGATACTGAGATGGGCAAGTGACTGAGTGATCAGGAAACACGGGACATGCTAGAAGGAATGACCCACATCTCAGGTATCATAGGCAGGAAGCTATAATACCATGGTGGTGAGATTACATGTCACTTAATAGTGCACAATTTAAAACTTAGGAATTGCTTGCTTCTGGGATTTTTTTTCATTTAATTATTTTTGGATCTCAGTAAAAACTGGGTAACTGAAACTGTGGAGTGACAAAAATAAATCAGCAGACCAATACACTTCACAAATAGACAAAAGTCCTCAATCAAATGCTATCAGGTCTAACCCAGCAAGATATAAAAGTAGGAGTACACCAGAGCCAAATGGTGCTCATTCCAGGAATGCAACGCTGGTTCAACATGTGTGATCAATTTAAGCAGCCACCTTAGGAAGAGGGCCAAGAAAATCCATAAGGATGTGTCACTTAAAGCAAAAACAAAACAAAACAAAAAAGGCATGTGACAAACACTCAGTCGTGATTTAAACAAAACAAACTACTAGGGAACTGCTCACCATGAAGGGCGGGCCACCCTCCAGTGACATCGCAGCATCTCTGTGGCAGCAGAGCAAGGACACGCACGCTCACACGCCTGCTCAGTGTCACCCTGAAGCCTGAGCTGCTGGAACAGGGTGAACAAGGAGATAAAAGTGACACATGGAAAGAAAAAGCAAAACTGCTTTCTTACAGGTGACACAGCTATTTACATAAAAATCCCCAGCACGGGGCGGGAGAGACGGCTCAGAGGTTAAGAGCACTGGCTGCTCTTCCAGAGGTCCTGAGTTCAATTCCCAGCAACCACATGGTGGCTCACAGCCATCTATAATGAGACCTGGTGTCCTCTGCTGGCGTGCAGACAGACATGGAGGCAGGCTGTTGTATTCATAATAAATAAGTCTTTAAAAAAAATCCCCAGCACATAAGGAAATGCAGCCTAAGTAGGAGAACCACTAGCTGAGCATATTGATATTGGGGCACAAGCTGTGAGGAAGTAAGGGATGTAGTACGTCACAGTGGCGTCAACTCCACACGTCACTGGACTTAACACCCAGCCACTCAATAATCCCAGGGGATTTTATAACTACAGGGAAGCTAATTCTAAAACTTGTATGTATTGCTCACAGTATAGAAACAGTTCAGTTCTGAAAGAACAAGCTACAGCATGTGAGTTAATATTTGTTATAAATACGACGGCCAGAACAGTAGTGTTGAGAAAGTGCACAGGTCACCTGTGACAAGCAAACGTATGACAGGAAAAGCAGCTCCCTGGGGAAAGACTAACCCTTCTCCAGAAGAGCCAAAGCCAAGCCTGGGCTAGAGACGCTGCATTTTACACACAGCTGAAACACTGGCACTGACTCAACACAGCAACGGGTAAGCAACCACAAATTGCCAGAATTAACACAAATCCAACATCTTGTGAAAAAACCAAAAACACAAAAACAAAACAAAACCCTAAGAAATAACATACCTGACTGTTACATGGGAAACTCCAGAATGACTAGAAATCACAAAAGACTGTCATGATTTGATGCTAGCAAAGAATTCTGAGGGGATTGGGGAGATGGTTCAGTTGGTAACATGCTTACAATGCAAGCAAAAAGACTCAACCTCCACAATTTATACACACACAGAAGCTGGAGTGAGCCTGTGGTGGTGGTGCACACTTTAATTCCAGCAGAGCCAGGAGTTCAAGGCCAGCCTGGTCTACAGAGCAAGTTCCAGGACAGCCAGGGCTACACAGAGAAACCCTGTCTTAAAACACAAAAACAAAAAAAGTCTCAAACTCAACAATGACAAAATATACAACTTAAAAATAAGATAAAGAGCCCTCTTCTGGCATGCAGATATACATGCAGAGCACTCATACAGAAAATATAAATAAATAAAAATAAAAAACAAATAAAAGGTTAAAGAGAGTGTTGGAGAGATGACTCAGCAGTTAAGAGTACTGGCTGCTCTTCCAGGGTCCCAAGTTCAATTCCCAGAAACCACATAGTGGCTCACAACCATCTCTAGTGGGATCTGATGCCCTCTTCAGCATAAAGCTGTACATGCAGATAGGACACTCATATACATAAAATAAAGGTTAAAGATATAACCTAAAAAAAAGATGTTAGCCGGGCGGTGGTGGCGCACGCCTTTAATCCCAGCACTCGGGAGGCAGAGGCAGGCGGATCTCTGTGAGTTCAAGAGCGAGTTCCAGGACAGCCTCCAAAGCAATGCAGAGAAACCCTGTCTTGAAAAACGAAAAAGAAAAACAACAACACATACGATGTGAAAATTCGGACAGAACAGGTACATAAGCAGGTCTAGAGGGCAATATCTCCTTCTCAACCACAGTGTCTTCCCATTTCCTGTTGTGGTGGCTGGAAAATGGACTGAGGCAGACTGGATATTCCTTCTGACTAATAAAGATGCCCAGTACCCAGACCATGGTGCCTCCACTGCAACCTCAGTCCAAAGAGCGAGCCAGGCCAGAACCCTGAAGAAAAAGTCCTGCACATGGGCCAGGCCAAGGGTCATCTCGACCCAGGCAGCCCCATGATGGAGTGGTCCCGTGGAGAGGCCCCGGGCTGGAAGGGTCTAAGGGACAGAGACAGGCAATGGGAACAGGAAAGCTGAGGCCCCAGAGGGCCATCACTACCTAGGCTGGACACGGCCAGCAACCTGGAGCCAAACCAACACACTCATCACAGACATCTCAAGAGTTTAATCGCTTCTCCCCAATACAGGCCACCGTAGGACCGTGCAGCCCAGGCAGGCTCTTCTCCCGTGCGCTATGTCTGAGAGCGCTTCCCCTGGGCTATGCTCTGCGGGTGGATGTCTTTCTCCCGTGCAGCTCCTACCTCCCTTCCACAGGCCAGAGCAGGTAGGTCACCCTCCATACTCATCTGCTGGTGTAGCCCTGAAGCTCTCTCGAGAGCGAGAGGTCTTTCTGAGTACCCACCCAAGGGCCTCTCCCTCCCCAAAGACAGCAAGAGCATCTCTCCTGGAGAGCCGAGAAGACCCCAGCTGGATGGTCCCTCCACTCAGTCTACCAGCTGAGGGCCAACGGGAGGCTCCTTCCTGCCTTTCCCTGTGATGGTGCCTGGCTGAGGCTCTTCCCAGCACTCCACCAATCCTGCCCACTCTTGAGTGGCAGGGCCCTGGCCCAGTGTGGCAGCTCCTCACTGAGCTGCTACTCCTAGCAGGGTGGCTAGAGTCCTGTTAGGTCCACAATAGCTTTGATGAAGATAGCATCGTCCCGCACATAGGAATTCTTGGCCTCCATCTTGGACACAGGGCAGAAGAGGGGGCAGCCACTGGCGATATTCATGTCACTGACAGGCCTCTGGAAGGAGGATGAGGTCACATCAGGCCTGAATGCGTCGATTACATGCTCCCGGTTGTTCTGGTCCAGCAACATCAACGTTACCTGAGAGAAGTCAATCCAGGAAGGGAACAATTTGTGCCTGAGTCACCTGAAAGCCCTCATTAGTCCTATCCTACCCCTCCCACAGCAGGGTACTTGACTTTTCATCTGGGAACAACACATGTCCATGCTGGCACTGCACGCTCATAGCATCTGGAAACTGAGGCTAAGCTTACTACTCTACACTGTATTCCTGGGTGCGGCTTCTTTTTTAGTGTTCATCTACAAATACTTTCTTGGCCAGATCCTGAAGCTCACCCTGGAAGCACTTCATAACAAGCACGGGGGTCTGACTGTTAGCCGTGAGTTGGTCAGGGTCTCTCTGCCTTCCAGTCCTCATCACCTGCTCTGACTCCTCCACTGGCTTCCAGGGAGAGAGCTGGGCCCTGAGTGGTGAAGGGACCATCCTCAATCCAACCCGATCTCTGGAGTTTCAGTTCCTTAATTAAGGAAGACCCTGGTTTTAAGTAGTCACACCCTAACTCCGATAGTTACACAGAGGGGCTCTGTGGCTGTGGCCTTCCCTTGAAGCAGTCTTCCCCAGGAGACTTTCATAAAGCCAGTCATATGTCACAACCAGCAGTGGGAAATCACTTTAGCACCACAGCCCAATATGCCTGGGTACAGACACTGTCTTGGACAACCTGGCTACTTGGAAACTGTCCCCAACCTCACTCAGATTCCCTCTAGGATCCTGGGGCTGCCTTTTATACCTTCTGATTAAAAGGCCACCGCAAGAGGGCATCATTGGGGCCTTTCATCACCACGAAGAAGAGGGACAGGTGAGTTCCCCGCCCAGTACCGTCGCCATTCAAGTAGACTCGTAGACACATCTTGTAGCCATATCTGCTTGTGTAGAAGGCTGGAAGTATGGAAAAGGGCCAGTCAGGACAGGGCAGGACGTAGACCCCAGCCCACCCTCAGAGAGATGAAAACCTAACCATTCAGCTTTTGGGAAATATCAAGGGAATGTTTTCTTCTCAAAAGAACCCAACAACCCCCCAGACAATCTTGCCATGCAGCTCAAGATAGCCCTCAACTTCAAATCCTACCCCACTCTCTTCAGAAGGGTCATTAGTGTGTGGTCACGTGACTACTACGGAGGACATGCAAGCCATGCATGTATGTGGAAGCCAAAGGCAACTCTGTGAGCCACTTTTCTTCTTCCAGCTTTTTAAGACAGGGTCATTCTAAGCTGTCCTGGAACTCACTATACAGCCCAGGCTGGCCTCAAACTCATAGAGATCTACTTCCTTCTGCCTCCCGAGAGTTGGGATTAAAGCTGTGTGTCAACACACCTGGCTCTCTCCTACTTTTTTTTTTTTTTTTTTTTTTTTTTGAGAAGCCCTGGATGTCCCGGGACAAACTCTGTAGACCAGGCTGGCCTTGAACTCAGAGATTCCCCTTGCTTCTACCTCCCGAGTGCTGGGATTAAAGGCATGCACCACTAATGCCCAGCTTCTCCTACTACCTTTTTTTTTTTTTTAAGGTTTTATTTATTTTACTTTATGTGCATTGGTGTTCTGTCACTGGTGTCAGGTCCCCTGGAACTGGAGTTACAGACAGTTACATGTGAGCTTCCATGTGGGTGCTGCAAATTGAACCCGGGTCATCTGGAAGAGCAGTCAGTGCTCTTAACCACTGAGCCCTTTTCCTACTACCTTTAATGTGGATTCCAGAGACCAATCTCACACACCCAGTGAGCCACCTTGCTGCACCCCCTTTAAAGTTAAAATTAACAATGATAATCTTATTAACCTCAAACTGACAATGCACAAAACTATGGTGGCAAAAAACTAGTAGCTGAGGTCCTCAGGAGAGCTGTAAAGGGAGACCAGGCCACAGGAACCCCAAGCCTGCCTCTGCAGAAGCATCTGACAGCTGAAACTCAGGTCACAGCCCATGTCCCTCAGTACCTACAGTAGTGGTTCTCAACCTGTGGGGCAAGCCACGCCCCCTTTGGCGCACATATCAGATACCCTGCCATGAGCTATTTCCATTACGATTCCTAATAGTGGCAAAATTACAGTTATGAAGTAGCAACAAAAATAATTTTATGGCTGGGGTCACAACATGAGGAACTGTATTAAAGGGTCGCAGCATTAGGAAGGTTGAGAACCACTGCTCTACAGGTTAACAAACAGCAGAACATGGTGAAGGCCATGTAAGAAAAGAACTGGACCTAATAACAAGCTTCCCAACACAAGTTCAAGTTCAGCCTGGGCTACACAACAAATCTGAGGCCACCTTGGCTACGGGCTAGAGTGTGAAACCCTGCCTCAAAAAATAACAAAAGGCGCTGGGCGTTGGTGGCGCACGCCTTTAATCCCAGCACTCGGGAGGCAGAGGCAGGCGGATCTCTGTGAGTTCGAGGTCAGCCTGGTCTACAGAGCGAGTCCAGGACAGCCTCCAAAACAATACAGAGAAACCCTGTCTCGAAAAACCAAAAATAAAAAAATAAAAAAAATAACAAAAGGCACACGATATACTATTAAGTGCAATAGTATATTGTAAATGGTTGGTTGTAAAGATTACTTTTAGTGTCACTGGATACCTAGAGGGCTGGAGAAGCACTAGCTCTGAGTATCTGTGGGCTGTTTCTAAGACACTGGTAGACCAGTGGTGGACCACGTGGGAAAGCTGGCCCTTAGCAGAGGTGGAGCCAATCAACTGAGACTGAATAAAAATAACAGGAAAATCAAGTGAACTGGTCTTCCTGCCCTGGAGTAAGACCTGTCTATGAAGTTAGACATCAAGCTGCTCAGAACTTAGACTCCAGGGTTTATACCAGCAACTAGGGCTCCCACATGAAGTTGGCCTATTATGGAGCTCAGCCTCAGTAATCATGCGGACCAGTCCTTAACCACCCTGAGACATCTACAGTTGCGCATGCTATAGTATGGATCTGCAATGTCCCACCCCATGGCCACTTGTTAAAGGTCTGATGCTGCCTGGAGAGGGTGGAACCTTCCTCATGGGGTCTAAAAGGAGGTGTTTCAGTCACTGAGGGGATGTCCTCTGAGGACAGTGGGATTCCCCACTCATCCCTCTTTCCTTTGCTTCCCAGCAGGGAAGTGAACAGCTCTGTACCACACACTGCTTGCCATGATGTGTGGCCACGAGCCAAAACAGAGCGACTAATCAATCCTGGACTGAACCTCCAGAGCTGTGAGTCAAAATAAGTGTATCCTTTTAGGGAGGGCTCAACAAGGAGCATTCAGTTGGTCTTACCTCCAAAAGGCTGCCTGCTACAGTGGCCCTCACGGCGACAGGACTATTCATGCCCCACTCATATACCAGAGCGAAGCCTCTGCAGCAGGGCTCCAAATCAGTGCTAAAATGCTGCCTTCCCCGTTCCTTCCAGCCCGACTGACACATGAACCTGGTGACCGACCATATCCAAAGCAGACCTTTTGCACAGACAAGCTTTCCTTGCCTATGGCCCCAGGAGTCTGCTGCAAAGGACATGGGATCCTCAGGCTGGACCCTTACTACACTCATTAGGGAATTCCTGCAACCTGAGTCTGCACACCCCTCTGGTCACCACTTACTCAGTCACCTGCCAGGGGAGGCACCGCTAACACAGCCTGCCCAAGTCTAGAAATAGTATCAGGCACCCCAGGCTGACCACATATCCCTTGAGTTCTTATCTAAAACACTTGTCTTCCTAGTTATCAGCCCAGAGAGATAGGGTCTCTATGCTTGTTGACGTCTAGTCCTTGCCGATGCCAATGTGAGAATATGCTACAGATCTACGTGGAGTGCTCAGACATCTATAGCAAGGACAGAAACCACCAGTATCAAGGCAAACCAAGTAGGAGAGGGTCTCCCGAGGTCTCAGTCTTGATCCTAGAACCTTTAATATAATGGCAGTTTGGAAAATAAGTCCAAAAATAAAGTATGTGCAGGTCAAGCTCTGACAGATAGTGACTACGTTATGAAGTAAGCTGCTGAGCAGGAAGAAAATACTAATAAGGGACAAAGACAAGGGCCTGGGCCATCACATGGTCTGGGGCACCTCCAGGGACACAACAGGGAAATTGTGAAGTATCCAGAAAGGTAGGCACAGCGGCACTATACTCACTGTAGGTGACAAGGGGCATACTCTATACACGTCTAACCTGGCACCCGATAGCTCCTTGTGCCTATAGATTCCCAAGTGAGTAGGGCATGTTGCTCAATTTGCTTCTCAAGGAGATGCAGACACTCCTGTTGCCAGGCAAGTATGTGCCCTGCCGGAGCCAGAGAACATTCTATAAGGCTAGCAGATGTGAAGACCACGAACCGCACCTGGGGAGAAGATAGCGGGGGTTCGGCCAGCTACAGCTTCTTGGCGCTTTCTGGCGAAGTCTGAGATCTTCCAGATGAAGACTCCATCATAAGTGGATGCCTCCAACTCTGAGACTTTCTGCTCCAGGTCAGCCATGGCTAGGTCCTTGAGGCCAATGCTCCTCTCTAGTTGCTGCACCTGCAGAGCAGAGACCACTTAACTTTGACAGGTGGGCAGGGACCTGATTGCCATATTCTGTGCACCATGAGCTCCCATTTCCCACATTGCTAGCCTCTGGAAGTCTCTGGAGTCTTTTCTGTCCCCAGGAGCCACTTGGAAGGCTCTGGACCTACATGTACCCAAGAACTTCATAGCCCCAGCATGACTGATGCTGTGGCCTCCTAGGCCAGAAAAGGTTTCAGTCGCTAGCCCATCAAACCCAATGGTTGAGTCTCCCAGAGCATGAGAATCAGAAAGCAAGAGGCCAAAGCCCAAGCCATGGAGTGTAGGAGTTCTATGCAATCCAGGCTCCAAAGATCCAGAACTTACTATCCCTGCTAGGCACAAACCTTGTTACTCAGGGCCTCGATCTTGTCCTGGTCTAGCCGGTGCTGCCGGCTGCAAGCCTCTGCAGTCACTGCCACCCTCTCTACTTCCCGGTTCAGGACGCAGACAATGTTCTCGAAGGTGGCTGTCTTCTGCTCCAAACTCTGGCACCGCTGCAGCAGCTCTGGCCCCGCCTGGCTCTGGCTTCCCTGTGAGGCTGGGGACTCCAGGAAGGAGCTCAGCAGCAGGGCCAGGTGTTCCCGCAGCTTCTGTACCTCATGGTCCTGAAGCTCCTCATTCTCCACCTGCGCACAGGACGGAGTTTGTGCAGAGTCAGCCCGGGCGGTGCAGCACTACCAGCCACACTATACTGAGGGACATCTGGTGTTGTGTCAAGATGTGAGCTCTCAGCTACGGCTCCAGCCCCATGCCTGCCTGCCTGCCTGCTGCCATGCTTCCCGCCATGACAGTCATTGACTCACCCGGAAACTGTTAAGTCCCAAATAAATTCTTTCTTCTATAAGTTGTCTTTATACAGCAATTATAGAAAAGTAACTAAGACAAACTTAATATTTTCAAACTTGTGTAAAATATTTTAAGAAGTTAAACACATTTCAAAATTACAATAATGTCATTATACTGTATACTAATTAAGAAAAATAAAAGGTACAGTGGCAAATGCTTTTAATCCCAGCATTCAAAAGGCAGACACAGGCAGATTTCTATGAGTGGAAAGTCAGCCTGGTCTACATACTAAGTTTAAGATCAGCCTGGGCTACATAGTAAGAATCTGTTTCAAAAACAAAATCAGAAATCAAACCCAACCTAAAACAAAACTAGGACTGACAAGATGGCTTAGCATTTAATGTTCTGTCACCGAGCCTGATAAGAAACCAAGGCATCTGTGTCTGCAGTTGGAGGCACAAGCAGGAGAAACGTCTGCTCCTCATCACAGGGCAGGCAGTAGCGGGAAATCAGATGAACACAAAAAGGACAAGCCATCTGCTCAGAGGCTTCCCCAGCAGGGGCCAGCAAGGTCACCACAATGCCAGAGCTTAACTGGAGCACCCTATGAACTGAAAAGGCTGAGGACCAAGGTGATAGCAGTTCAGCTTCATGGTAACTTCTAAAATAGCTTCTGCAGGGAACTCAATTGCTTTTAAATGGAGGCAGCAACTATGCTACCACTCAAAAGACAAGGACAGAGATGCTCAGTCACAGACGCCATGTCCTCAGCTTACCTCATCTTACACTCTTAATGCACATACCCTATAGGACTCTGTGGACTGCCACACGGTCATGAGTCAGGAGGGGAAATGATGTCAAGGGGCCCCCAATGTACAGAGAAAGAGGGAGGATAAACAGAAATAGCTTGTTCAGGATGAAAGTGAAGGGGGAGGGCAGGTCTGCGTGAGAGAGAAGGGGTACATATGGATAGAGACCTGTAGAGGCCTGAGTGAGTCTCCAGAAATACAGCAAGGCAAAGGGTTAGGGTGGGAAAAAGTCAGCATCTTCAAGGACAGCCAGGTCAGTGGCCAGGGCAGAGGCCAGAGATCTTGGGGGAGAGGGACCATGAGTAACAACACTGCTAATCAAAACTCGGGGAGGTCACAGGAAGGCCAGGTCAAGCACATCTTGCCTTCTACACTAACAGATCAGCGCAGCAGAGTGGGCAGGAGGTGCCCAGCCAACAACGGCAGCCTGAGTCCAGGCAAGAGATGACGAGGTGACAAGACAGCATTTGGAGGGGCAGGACCCATCTGCCACCACCAAGGATTTTCTAGCATGTGTGTGACCTACGAGGCAAGAGGATCTAGCAGATCACTGGGCACTGGGGCTTTAGCTGGAGAACTGAGCAATCAATGTGCTTTTCTTTCCTGGGAGAGATGGGCGGAGGGGAGAACAAGGGTATAGAAGGCCAGGGTGTAGTTCTAAGGTATTCACTAGATGTCCTGGGAGGCTCGAGGTGTCAGAAGCATATATATTTGGGTGTTCTTAGATATAGGTAGTGGTCAAGGCCGCCTAAGCCTGGACACCTGAGGGCAGGAAGAAGAGATGCTGAGAGAGATAGCCAGGGGAGATACCAGAGAGGCTGAGGAACCTAAGAGGAGCCGTAAGGGAAAGACCCACCCAGGTCCTTAGTCCCTAGCAGCAGCCCCTTGACTTACCATCTCAGAACAGCCGATGGTATGGAATCTGCACGGAACCCGACACTTGCTGCATGATCTAACATGGTCCTGAAACTGAAGGGTCAGGAAGATAAAGCTACCAGGGTCACTGTCGTTACTGAGGGTCTCCCCTCCCCAGCCTGTCCCATTTCCTTAATGTACTGATCAAGTAAGAATTAACAAAAGAAACCACTAGATGCATCTTATTGGCTTTCTCATTTTGATGCAAGATTAAGATGCGACAAACCACTTCCACTGTCAATCACTGTGGGAAGCTGACATTTCAGGATTGCGTGGAAAAGTCTAGCTCATGGTCTTGGGGGAGGTCCATGCCATACAGAAAGCAACTCAGCTGTCACTCCTGTCAATCTTCAAAGTATACAATATTGGAACCCCTGGGCCTCAGGTAGAATATCAGATTCACAGGAGTCGAGCATAAGAACAGGCGAGCCCCTGTAGCGCAAAAGGACTACTGATGAGCACGTGAGACCTAGGCACACACTCCACTAAACACAAACATTTCATAGTCAACACAGACTGCATGTCTGGTAGGGGCAAGGAAAAGACCACCTCTTTGTGACCCCGTGTGACGGCAAGGAGCCATTTTTCTTCTACCTACCACTCCAGGCAACAAATGTAGTTAGGCTTGCCCTATGAAAAACTCAACTTAAAAGACTAGGGGAGGTTGGAGAGAAGGCTCAGTTGTTGAGAGCATTGGCTGGTTTTCTAGAGGACCTGGGTTCCATTCCCAGCACCCACATGGTGATCCATAACTGTCTGTAACTCTAGTTTTAGGAGATCTAAAGCCCTCACACAGACATACATGCAGGTGAACTAGAAATAAGTAAATCATTTAAAAACAATAATAAGATACGCATGGTAGTGAAAAACTTTAATCCCAGCACTCGGGAGGCAGAAGCAGGAGGATCTCTGTGAGTTCCAGGCCAGACAGGGATACACACCAAAAACCTTATTATTTGGGGTAACTAAATCTATGTCCTTGGACAATGGTCATTTGTATTTAGCTGAAAAATAAACCATCTCTTATTTTCTAGTGGTGAGAGATTATGTTTTGTCAACAAGAAGGAAACCCAGCTCAGTAGTAGAAAGTTTGCTTGGTAAGCATGAAGCCCTGAATTCCAACCCCAACACTACACATTCCCACTCCCAAAAAGGAACTTGCCCAACAAAAACCATGATTGTGTGTGCACACCTATTACCTAGTACTTGGGAGTTAGAGGCAGGAAGATCAGGAGTTCAAGGTTATCCTTGGCTATATATTAAGTTCCAGGCCAGCCTGGGCTACATGAAACCCTGGTATGTGTGGGGTAGAGAAATGATGGACAAGGTGAAATGTGCCTTTAAGGCAAATCCATGATTTTAAAGTCAGCCTTGTCTACGTAGCAAGTTCTAGGCACCACGACTATATAATGAGACCCTGCCTCAAAACAAATGAACAACAACAAAAGAATCCAAATGTGTATTGGAGGATAAGCCGCCATGCCCAAGAACACACCAGTCCTAGCAACAGCAAATAAGCCTCACTTTGTTATTCTCCCTCGGGGCACCAGGTGTCATAAACTACCCCACGTGACAGACCTTCACCACTGACCATCAAAGGTCTAACGCCCACGGTCTTCAGAAGATGGAAGGAATTGCTTTACCTTCTCCCGAGAGATTTTCTTCTTGCCACAGCCATCACAGGTTAAGGGGAACTTAGGGCAGACCTCGTAGTGTACCTTAAAGAAAAAACAGGCACATGGGACGGGCATGCCAACACCAGGACAGGACAGTGAAGGAGGAGGGGACCCATGAAGTGCTCAATACAGCAGCACCTAGGATACTGAGGTGCTCAGAGCCCCTCAGACCCTCTCTGAAGCTGTGTTTGCTACAGTGAGATCCTGCAGGCACCTACTAATTCAGACTTTAGGACGTTCTTCTTCCTCTATAGTCTCCAGAGAACACGAGAAAGATGAGGAAGGGAATAGCACCATCCCGCATCACCTGACTAGAACAGAGGGTCTCTGTAGAGACTGAAACGGCTGTGCAGGACTTTCTCACAACTAGACTATGCTGTCCTTACATGGCCCGAGAGCACTGCCAGATTACCTTAAAGAGAGACCCTGATATGCTACTCAAAATACCCAACGTCCAGATGCTCTTGTTTGGCCCAATCATACAACAGAGGAACACAGGGCCAACATGTGGGATGTGGAGCGCAAATACAGTAGGCAGCTGAGAAATGCCTGGAAAAAGAGATGCTAATGACCGTGACTCCAACAAATGTCAGTGAAGGGCTTCCCTTCCACAGCAGGAATGTGCACAAACCAGAAAGTGACACAGTAAACATTGTGCTTAGTCCCTAGCATAGGTGTGCATGTGATGTAATCCAAAAGGTGGGGCCAAATGAAAATCCTCTAGGCTACTGGAACAGGCCCTCAAAGGGGACACTGAGTCCTCAGTCCCTTCCTTTCACTCCCCTATCATGTACTCCAAAGCCAAGACAAACCTCCTCTCTTTGGAAAGTGATTACCTCTTGTTAAAGCTATAGCAAGATGTTCCTGAACTACAGTGTAGTCAGAATAGCTCAGAAACAGTTTGGAGGGTGACACAGAGCTGGTGAATCACAAGGGTGTTTTCTCACCTGCTGGCTGTGTTTCAACTTTTCTAAATTGAGACACATTTTTCTTGTTGTTTGAGGGGAGGTGGGTTCCTGATTGCTGGGATTATGAGTCACCACACTCAGTTATAAACACTTGAAAATAGCCAGGCGGTGGTGACTCACACCTTTAGCCCAGTAGTTGGGAGGCAGAGGCAGGCAGATCTCTGAGTTCAAGGTCACCCTGGTCCACAGAGTGAGTTCCAGGACAGCCAGGGCTGCACAGAGAAACCCTGTTTCGGAAAACAAACCGAACAAACAAAACAACACTTGAAATTTTTTTGGTCCTGCATGGTGGCACAAGTCATTAACCCTAGCACCTGAAAGGCAGAGGCAGGAGGATCTCTGTGAGCTTGAGGCCAGCCTGGTCAACAGAGCGAGTTCCAGGACAGCCAAGGCTACAGACGAGAACCTATCTGAAGATACACATGTGCATACCTCCAGATTTATTCATTGCTTATGGACAGATGTACTGCCTGGTAAGCCTGTACTTGCCTTGTGCCCATGTAGGATAGAAAGGGCATTGGACCCCCTGGAACTGGTGTTATGGATTACTGTGAGCGATCATGTGGGTGCTGTGAACTGAACCCAGGTCCTCTAAAAGAGCAACAAGTACTCCTAACTATAATTACCAACCGAAGCCCAGTCCCACCTTCTAACCTCCACGGCACCATGGAGACAAGCATGAAGAAGCTAAGTAAACTCCAACCAAATTCTAGCTGAATGCCCATGCTGTAGACACTGCCACCCAGGCCATGCCCGCCCAGCTCACCTCCAGGTCTGCATGGCTACAGGGTGCCTTGCAGTGCTGGCAGCTCAGGCTCCTCTTAGGGCATTCCTGCTCAGTGTGGTGCTCCTTCTCGCCGAGGCGGACCAGGCCTTTACATGCAGGACACTCGGTGAGCAGGAACGGGCAAAGTCCTTCGTGGCAACTCTGGCAACAAAAGGAGGTGTGTGACTATAGTATGCAGACCCTGCAGGCAGCCGCAGCACTTGCAAGTGTGGTGTTCCATGCTACCCCGCCTACCTATCATGGAGACTCAGGTCAGTGTAGTCTTCCCACTTTTGGAAACCAGGGATGCTGACCGACCCCTAGCTGTACTAGATTGAGCTGTTCCATTGCACTTGTCTCTGGGCAGGTGGCACCCCCGAGGACACTCACCTCTTCAACTGTACACCTATGCCACCCCCTTCCCTGTGTCAGCTCCCAACTAAGTAAGTGGACTGTTCTCCAGTATGAAGACAGCACAGTGGGGTCATGCTGCGGACCTTACCAGCTCTGACCTCATCACTCCTACACTGGAGGTGGGAGGCAAAAAGTGGACAAGGAGACAAGGAGACCCTGTGAAAACGCTGCATGGTTTCCCATACCTGGAGCTCTGCGCATGGCTACCTGGCAAAGGCCTAACATACCACATAATCAGCCAGGCCAAGGTGTTAGGAGGCCAGTCTAGAACTAGCTGCTCTCACCTGAGATCTATGCTGTGAAGGGCCAGAGTGACTGACACACCGGAGGCCACCCTGGACCCCACCCCGGAACACGGAAAAATAAGGAGCAAGTCATGACACAGATGCACTGTGCCTCTCAGCTGACCCATGAGCACTGATATAGGGAACGTCCTATCTAGTAAATCAGGAGAGACAGGGCAACCAGCAAGCCCCTAGTTAAATGCTTTCCTTTGGAAGAGTAGCTTTGTCCTAGAACTTGCTGTACAGATCAGGTTAATGCGCCTACATCTGCCTCCTAAGTGTGCACCAACTATGCCTTGAGAGCCCACGCTAAGCACACCCACAGGTCAGTACAGGAAGCACACTCGGTACTGTGCAGTCTCCACTGTCCATCCATAGAACTCTCCCTTTCCTCAATGCTCAGTCTCCACTAATAGACTCCTCAGCCCCGGAAACTTTTCCCCTACTGCCCCCCCCCGCTATGGACACATGTGTGCAACGGCACAGGACTGGTCCCCCTGCACCTGACCCATTTCACTGAGCTCACAGAGAGGCTCTGAAGCACAAGACACTAGAGGGAAACTGCCAGAAGAAGGTTAATAGGAGAGAGGTAAGTTCCTGAGTCTGGGCGAGTCCAGAGCAGGGTCATGAAGATTGAGGCTACAGTTCCGGAGGAAGGCTGTTCTTAGAGGACAAAGGGGTGAGGGACCCTCATCCAAATCCCAGGAAGCAAGTGGGATTCTAGACAAGAAAAGGCATGTTCATTTAGTCTGAATGCTGGGCAACTCCCAAGACAGAACATACAGGGACACAGATAACCATACTAACAGTCAAGTCTAAGGGGCTCTCTGGCCCAGCTCAAATGTGCTGTATACCATGCTCCCATAACTTCCTGAGTATATGACAACTAGTTATTAAAACAAGCACAAAGCAGGATCTCAAGAGGAGCTAATATGCTGTAACAGTTTGTAGAGGATAAAAACTAAAGCACTAAGTTACTATAATTTAGCTAAAAGGCTATTTATGGCCGGGCAGTGGTGGCGCATGCACGCGCGCACACACACACACACACACACACACACACACACACACACACACACACGTGCGCGCATGCGCGCGCACGCACTAAAATACTCAAAGCAGCACACCTGGTAGTAGAAAGCCTAGAATGCACAAAGCCCTGGATTCAATCCTCTATACTAAAAAATAAAATAAATGACAAGGCATCTTAGACTTCCTTTGATGTGATCCACAGAGGGAAACATGGGCAGAGAAGTAGCTGCAGAAGTCTGGTAGGCATCCAGGAGCCTTAGCACTGACTTGGTTCTCAGCTCACTCCTCAAAGTTACTGTATGTTTTTCTTGCCTTTTATTGAGCTGCCATGTGGGTGCTGGGAATTGAACCCCAGGTCCTCTGGAAGGTCAATCAGTGCTCTTAACCACTGAGCCATCTCTCCAGCTCCTGCAACAGGATCTTATAAAACCCATTCTGGCCGGGCGTTGGTGGCGCACACCTTTAATCCCAGCACTCGGGAGGCAGAGGCAGGCGGATCTCTGTGAGTTCGAGACCAGCCTGGACTACCAAGCAAGTTCCAGGACAGCCTCCAAAGCCACAGAGAAACCCTGTCTCGAAAAAAAACCAAAAAAAAAAAAAAAAAACCAAACAAAAACATTCTGACCACAAACTTTCTATGTAGTTGAGGGTAGCCTTGAACCCCTGATCCTGACAAATTCCAATATTAAAATTTTTATCATGGGCTTTGATATGGCCCAGTGGTAGAGTATGTGCTTTGTGCTTTTTATGCTCAAGGCCCTGGGTTCAATGCCCTGTATTGGTGCTTCAAATTCCCAGCTGAGTTTGGGACCTGAGAATGACTTGAGTTGGAGCTCATTGATTAGTCTAGGCTGGAATCACCTAATCCCAGGGACCCTCCTGCCTCTGCTTCTCCAACACTGAGATTACAGGAGTATTCTGCCATCCCTGACTTTTTTAGATGGGTTCTGATGGGACCAGGGACTAAATGCTGGTCTTTGGGTCCTGAGCTCAAAGGATCACAGACAGAAGATACACTTGTTCCAACACACTTAGGCAACTAGGACAAAGTTCCATATCCCCAACAGCCCTAGCAGATACAATTCAAGTATATCAGCATTTATTCAACCAGAATTCAAATTGAACATCTTAAGCAAATATAGTTGCCATAATTGATTTCTTTTAATTCGTTTTGTTGTTTTTCAGGGTAGGGTTTCTCTGTGTAGCCCTTGGCTGTCCTGGAACCCACACTATAGACCAGGCTGGCCTCAAACTCAGAAGATCTACCTGCCTCTGCCTTCCAAGTGCTGGAATTAAAGGTGCAGGTCACTTGGATGGGGGAACGACGATGGGGAGTGGGGGGCTGGGGGGGTGACGACATGGGACACTTGAGATAGGGTTTTACTATGTAACCTTGGCTGGTTTGGAATTCACTATGCAGACCAAACTGGCCTCAAACTCATATACATAAGCTTGCTTCTGCCTCCCAAGTGCTGGGATTACACTAGACCTGGCTTAGCATCATATATGTGTTTTGCCTACATCTGACTGTGTACCATGTGTGCATAGTGCCCAAGGAGGCCAGAAAAGGTTACTAGATCCTTGGAACTGAAGCTGTAGACAGTTATGAGCCATCATGTGGCTGCTGGGAATTGAACTCAGATCCTCTGCAAGAACAGCCAGTCAGTACTCTTAACCACAGAGCAAGAGCTGGGTATTGGTGGCGCACACCTTTAATCCCAGCACTTGGGCGGCGGATCTCTGTGAGTTTAAGAACAGCCTCCAAAACAATACAGAGAAACCCTGTCTCAAAAAAACAAAAAAAAGAGAGGTGCTGCTCTTGCAGAGGATTCAAGTTCAATACCCAGAACACACAAGGGGACTCACAACCAACCTTAACTCCAGTTCTAGGGGATCCACTGTCTTTTTCTGGTTCCTCTTTGGGCAAGAGGCACATATGTGGGTACATACACACATGCAGATAAAACACATAAAATAAAAAGACTAAAAAGAAGAGCCGGAGAGATGGCTCAGCTGTTAAATGCTAGGCTCACAACCAAATCTATGTATCTATATATCTATCTATCTATATGTATATATATATGAAAAGAACTTACGAGGTCATGGACATGCGCAGATCTGCCTCCCAGTGCCCGATGATCCCTAGTGTTTGCAGCCCTGACTGATCTGGAACTTACTACACAGAGACCAGGCTTGCCCGTCTTTTGTCTTCTCTAATGTGGGAATACAAGTATGCAGCACATGCCTTGCCTTTCAAACAGTAGATTTTGACAGGGCTTTCAGAATGACAGACATCAGCATAAGGGAAAAACTAAGCAGGATTTTTCTCCAACTCTTCAAACATTTTAAGTAATTCAAATCATATTTTAAAAAAAAGGTTTTAGTCACAGGCTTAGTTTTCAGTGAAAACTAGCAAACAAACAGATGTGTGACAGGCAGGAGAGACAGGATTATCTGCAAAGGTGGTAATGACTACACACAGAGTATATAATTTCTGTCCTGGCCTGTGACATTTGCCACCAGTGAGAAGTTTTTATCAATAAAATCAGTTAAGGCAGAGCTGTGCCTGCCCTCCCACGTGACCAAACCCAACTCATCTCAGGGACTTTCCAGAGCTCTCAAAGGGTGAAGCCAGGGACTTTCCAGCCTGCATGCCTGCAAAGCCACATGGCACCAAGCCCATAGCCTGGCTGCAGTCCCCGGCCATCAGTCAAAGGCCCACACAGCCACTGACCTCTAGTACCACAGACCTGGAGGCAACAGAAATCCCAGAAGAATCTAGAGCCTAACAGGGCTGGGAACTATTTTTCCACTTGCCCCAGTGATCTCTCAGACACCTTCAAGGGCAAAAGGCCACACAGGGCCCATTCCCTACACCCACATTTTCCTGCATCCACCCTACGTCCCTAGGGGCCATCTCTTTCTGAGACAGCACTAGACATTTCACTTTAAGAATATACTGGGACTATGGTTCCTGATCAGGCCCTGACAGCATGCTAGAAAAGAAGACCACAGTTTCTTGTTCACCCAAGAACAGCTAGCAAAATGAAACCCAAATCCCAGATCACAAAGTGTAATCAGTCAACAGGACATGGGGCTCTGCCAGACACACCTGGCAGAGCACAGGAGAGATGATGTCTCCCTTAGCAGCCCAGGCGACCCCTGAACTCATGATCTTCCTGTCTCAACCTCCCAAGAACTGGGATTATAGGTGCACATCACCATGTCTAGCTGAACCAAAACCTTTGGAAGGTTGTTGACTGAGCCAACGAAGAGGAATGAGTAACTTGGTGGGCCAGAGTGGCCTATCTACCCATCTGGCCTCTGTGATGCAGGGTTAACTGAAGATGCCTAAAGGTGACATGAGGCTCACGAGATAGTTCCCACTACATTTTACCATCCGTACACCACCTCTGCTACTGGCCTTTTAGATGTCTTTCCGTGACCACATAACAAATACACCCATTACGTGAAAAATTTCCAGTGTCAACACAAATTACAAGAAAACCCTTATGAAATAGCCATGATAGTACATGCCTTTAATCTCAGTACTCAGGAGGCAGGCAGAACTCTGTGACTTTCAGGACAACCAGGGCTATAGATAGAGACCCTGCCTCAAAAACAAACAAACAAACAAAAAGACTCAGAAAACAAATAACCAAACAGAAAACCCTCGTGGGTATGATATGCAACACAGAATCTACTGACCTTAAAAGCTGCAGTTTCCAACAAAAAATTGGATATCTGTAACTAAGCCAATGGGAGGTACCAAGCCAACACGGTACTAGCTCCTTACCTAAGGCACTTCCAATTCTACTAACCCTCTGGCGCAGAGTAGAAACTGAGGCACGGAAAGAAGTGACAAGCTCTTTGGTACAGGCTTATGCTTCACTATTTGGGTTTCTGAAAGCGTACTCTTTAAAAAAATAAAATAAAGAGACAACACAAAGTCAGGCATTGGTGGCGCACACCTTTAATCCCAGCACTCGGGAGGCAGAGGCCAGCCTGGTCTACAAGAGCTAATTCCAGGACAGTCTCCAAAGCAATACAGAGAAACCCTTTCATGAAAGAGAGAGAGAGAGAGAGAGAGAGAGAGAGAGAGAGAGAGAGAGAGAGAGAGAGAGAGAGAGAGAGAGAGAGAGAGAGAGAGAGAGAACACAAAAACAAAGGTTTCTCAGGGTAGCCCAGGCCCTGCCTCCACTTCCAAAGGGTTACAGGCATGTGGTGTGCCACACTCACATAAAGGAACACTTTCTTTTTTTTTGGTTTTTCGAGACAGGGTTTCTCTGTATTGTTTTAGAGGCTGTCCTGGAACTCGCTCTGTAGACCAGGCTGGCCTCGAACTCACAGAGATCCACCTGTCTCTGCCTCCCGAGTGCTGGGATTAAAGGCGTGCGCCACCACCGCCCGGCAAGGAACACTTTCTAAGAGCACACTTCTTCACATACCTTAGTCAGGACAGTCCCAGCAAGAGGCGAGAACGGCTCCCATGAGAACTGTTTTATAGGGGCTGGAGAAATAGCTCAAAGGTTGAGCATTGACTGTTCTTCCAGAGAACCCAGCTTCAATTCCCAGTACCCATATGGCATCACACAACTTTTTGTAACTCCAGTTACAGGGATCTAACACTCTCACATAGACATATATGCAATAAAAACAAAATGCATATAAAATAAAAATAAACAAACCATTAAAATAAATGCTTTGTAGAGTAGAACTCCTCAAAGCCCAGTGCTGGAAATTCAGCCACCAGGCCAGAACAGAAATGTCTCTCTACCTCGTATTCTTTCAAGGTTCCCTTCCAGGTGCATCCATCGTTGGGACAGACAGCTGGCAGGCTCTCCACCTCCCTGCGGGCAGCATTATCTGGAAAGGCCTGGAACAGGAATGTCCTTGGGTTACACCTTCCCCCAACACCCTACTGCCTATTAAGCAACATCTAGTTCTATACCCTACCCAACCAACCTGCTCCTCTCTCCCTGGCCAGCACATGGAGCAGAAGATAACTAAGGAGCAGCTATAAGCCATACTTCCCAACCTTTCCACCCCTAACCAGTCATGAGAGACCATTTCTAGCGCCCAACTTCTCATTCTGCTACCAATGTACTAAAATTACTAAACGAAATCTCTAAATAATTTCTGTTCATTTGGACTTGTTTAGCTCAATATAGTGTACTTACCGAACTACTCTCTAAAATAGAAATGCCTTCTTCATATAGGCCTTCATGAACACAGGCAGCGCAATTCTGAGGCCCAGAGCTAGTGGGAACAGAGGAAAGAGAAAACCGACTACAACCCTTGCTGCAGAGATTAACTGAGCACGGTCTGCTCAGCCCGCAATCCAGCTGCACACCGCTCGTTCTTAATTTCTCTCACCTTTGACCAAACAAGCATGTCAACTGCACAATATTTGAAAAATTCACAAATGAGAAGATTCAGATGTGGAAAGGGGGAGCTGGGCTTGAGCTTGCCAAGATAACTCATTTCTTCTTTGTTTTCATTTTGAGTCTGTAACGTTAGGGCCTGAGGTAAAGCTTCCTGAATGTCAGGTAAGTGCTTTATCACTGAGCCTCAACTCCAGCCCCCTGTCCCTCACCTGTGAACACTCTCTGAGGGCCCTGACACTCCAAACCACATGGCGGAAATGGGGGGGTATTTATGTTCTCCACATGCACTGCTGCTGTCCTTTCAACCATTGTATAGGGACACGTCAGTCACCCACTCACACGACATTCAACCCGTCCACCCAGAGCAGACTAAGGGAGCTATACTCCTCACACTAAGCTTTCTGGTGCCTGGGAAACCAACAATGATGTATTACACTTAATCTCACATGTCCAAATAATATCCTAACACGTAACATATGTTTCCACCTGTGTGTGCATGTATGTGTGCACTCGAGTGTAAATACAGGGGTATATATGTGTGTGTGTGGAAGCCAGAGGTCAAATATCAGATATTCCTCCCCAGGTACCATTCACCTTTTTTAGATAGAACTCTCACAAGGACCTAGAGCATGAAGGTTAGGTTAGGCTAAACAATGAGCCCCAAGAATCCTCCTATCCAAGGCTATACAGAAAAACCAAAAAACAAAAAAAACAAAAAAAAAACCCTCCTATCTTTGTCGCTAGGTATATGATATAATTACAGATACACATTATCATGCCCAAGTTTTTACACAGATGGAGATCAAATTAGTCATGATTGTACAGCAAGCACTGCACCATTTATCTACCCAGTGAATTGTTAAATTTTTAACTTTTTAATTACATTTTAATTTACTGTGCATGTAAACATGTACCAAGGTGGGCAGGTAGGTCAGAGGACAACTTGTGGAGTTAGTTCTCTCCTTTCACTATGTGTGGATCCTAGGGCTCAAACTCAGGTCTTCAGGCTTGGCAGCAAGAGCCTTTACCCAACGAGTCATCTCTCTGACTTCTGTTGTTATTTTTTGAAACAGATCTGAGGTTGGTTTTGAACTTGTTATGTAGCCAAGGATGACTTTGAACTTCTGATCTTCCAGTCTCTACCTCCCAAGAGGTAGGAACAAGAATGTATACTACCATACTTTGTCATGACCAATGATCAATTCTGCTTTTATTTTTCAGACAAAGTAGCCCTAGGACTCACTTGTAGACTAGGCTGGCCTTGAACTCACAGAGATCCTCCTGCTTCTGCCTCCTAAGTGCTGGGATTAAAGGACTGTTTCGCCTTACTCAGCTACGATCAATGTTTTTAAGCAGTAAATTTTACATTCTTGGTTTGTGCTAAGCCTCCAGAATTTGTAGTGGTGACCACTATACAGACAGTGCAATCTACCATCAAAGCCACCCATGTGCCCTGCCCACCTGAGGATGCTGTTCAAGCAGAAGGAGCAGTAGCGGTGACCACACTGGGCCTGGAAAGGCCTCCGCAGGATGTTTCTGCACGCTGAACACAGGTACTTGGCTTCTAACTTGGTCCCCAGGAGCGTCTTGGAGAAGCCAGGCTGCAGCAGGTCTAGGGAGCCAGGGGGAGTCACACTGGCTGCAGCCATGTGAGTTATAACCCACACACCACAAAGCCCTAAGGAAAAACACACATCATATCACGCCTCAATTCAGAATCATCCTCTAGAGCAGGGGTTCGCAAACTTCCTAATGCTTCAGTCCCTTAATACAATTCCTCATGTTGTGGTGACCCCCAAACATAAAATTATTTTTGTTACTACTTCATAATTGCAATTTTGTTACTGTTATGAGTTGTAATGTAAATATCTGTTTTCCAGTGGTCTTAAGCAATCCTTGCGAGTCATTCCACCCTCAAAGGGGTCACGACCCACAGGTTGAGAACCACCACTCTAGAGGGAAAAGGAAGGTAAAGGAACCTACCAGAGGCACATGGTGGGGTTCCTGGGTCACTACATTGATTTTGAAAGAGGATCTAGGAAACAAGATTTTAGAGTTCTGGGAAGCCTGGAGGATAGATAAGTCAAACAAATCTGCTACAAATGTGGGAAGCGATGTCAGTAAGGGTGACAGCGGCCGGGTGGCACCCACAATAACTATCCAAGTCACAAGCTTCCACCTTCTGGCATCAAATCAGTCCTGCCTGGAGTTCCTTCCACCGAAACCAATAGTCAGTGCCTTCCATCCTACACCCATGGCCCTTACCACAAGCACGTTTTAAGATGGTGGAAGGCTTCTGAAGCATACCAAAGGCTTGCAGGGCAGGGAAATGTCTATCTGCCAGTTCCTTAGGTCCTAAACTGCACCCTGGAGGCGGCCACACCCGGGCATGAGACACAACCAGCATGGCACTGATCACTGAGCTCCACACACTGCAGTGAGCCCACAGCCTGCGGAGCCCCTTTTTATGACAGTCTAGACCTGACGCTTGCCATCCTCGCCAAGATGCTTCATTCGGAATCGCCCAGGCTCCTCCCTTAGCCTGCAGCACTGCAGCCTCCACTGGGCCCCCTCTGAACTCCCAAGTCAGGCTTTCCTCATCCCCACTTTCTCAGGCAGCACTGTGGGAGCCCTCACACTCGGGAGCCCAGGAAGAGAGGCCTACTCAGGCTGAGGCAGGTGTGGAGAAGCCTGGACCGCCTGAAGTAGCAGCCTGGCACCTCTATGTCTCCCAATGGCCTCTCATATCTGTAGTACACCATTTCCCAGTGACAACCTCCTTGCTGTATTTCCATCTCCAAAGCAGCCGAAAGGCCGGGGGCAGCAGCTAACCATACTTTCTGCCAACCAGGGCTCCTCAGAGCCTGTGAGAAGAGTGTGGAAAGACCCTTGGCTCTCACTCAGAAGAGCAGGCTAGTCCCAATGAGGACAAAGAGGGCTGGGGTGCGGGGTAGGAGGACATGGGCATGGACCTCCCAGGGGCTCAGCCTCAGAAGCGGAACTTAAGGAAGAAGTGAGTAATGTGCCCTGGGATACACATTAGGAGGTGTGTGGTATCTGAGATGTGTTGAACCAACAGACAGCAGAGTGTCCCCCGAGTCCCCTTCCCAGCAAAACCCCTGCTATGTCTCATTTAACTAACAAACCGCCTCTCAGACCATTCCCACATTTAAATTCCAGAGACAATCCCCCGGCTCCAGGAACGATGGCAGCATTGGCTGCCTCAGGCCTGGGCAACTGTCTGTCGGACAAGGCCTTGCTGCCTCCTTTGAACCTTGCTGGCCCCACTCACCTGCCTGCCCTGCTGTCTTGGTGCCCCTTGAAGTCTTGGGGCGCTCACATGCTGGCATGAACAAGGCCCCGTCCAGCAGTCAAAGCACTGGTGGAGGTTGCAGTGTGTCCGGTTCTAAGGTCTACTGGCCAGTCTGACAGCCCCCATTTTTCTTCCCTGCCCGATGCCCTCAGGGCTACTTGCTGCTCACCAGGGACTCATCAGGCCATGGGTTCTGAGTCCACTCCTTGGCCAACCCTTGGTCAATCTGCCTCCTCCGATGGACACTCTGCCCCCTGCCCTCCTCCACACCTATACCAAACACCACCACCCACAGCGTGAGCCACACTCGGACGAAAAGACAACCGCACAACTCCTACACTGACTATGCTCTGACCCCACGGCTTCCTACTGCCCTAAACACAATGTCACTTGCCTCCACTGGCAATCAGGTGCTGAGAGTCCCAAGAGATCACGGAGAGACCCAGGCACCACCAGGACATGCCTAGATATACAGCAGCACGGCCTTTCAAAGCAGCATTCATTCTAAGATGACTGCTGCTTCCAAGCAGCTTACTATCCTTTCAAGTGCACCTCGATTCTGATTACACATTTTAAAACAATCCCAAGCCATTCATAATGCACCAACAGCTGTCACCTGCCACTTTCTTCTCATTCAACAAATGTTTCTCAGATGCCAGGCACCAGCCCTTGGCTGAGGGTGTTGGGTCCTGAAGCAAGAGTACAACTAGACAACGCCCAATAGCGTGCAGAACTTGCATGGACTCTCTGCACTGTCTGTACATCTCAAAGAGGAGAGAAATTTCATCCGCACACCTAGGAGAGGTAACTTAATAGCGAGCCCAAGCAGAAAGCACTTTAACTCACAATACATGAGATCTAGGACAAGAACATACAACTACTGCATTACAAACAGCATGTCTCCCCAACCCCTGGGAACTAAGCACCACAATGACCCCACAGTGACCCCACACACTCATGGGGTACCCTTTACAAAATGGGCACATCGATGTCCAAGGCTGCAACTCCTGCAGGGGCCCTGGCAGGGCAGAGATGAGAGAGAGCTCCTGTATGGAGCACCGAGACAAGGCTGCTGGGTGTCCCAAATGCAGGCCACAGCTCCCACATGCCCACATTCACTCAGTTCTTCTGCACAGACAGTTTAATGACTCCTCCATCCAAGTCTGCAGAGCATGTTTAACCTCCATCTACTCTAAGCACCCAACGGGGTGGACAGCCCTGGGCAGGAAGGCAACCCTGAGTGTCCCTTTCTGAGGCCCATGTATCTCCTTGCACCATATGTGCATCTGCTCTGTGGGAGGAAATTCACTAGAGCCTGAGCAACTCAGTGAGACAGCATGTCAAAAACAGAAACAAAACAAAAAGCCCAGCTGGCACAAAACAAGTAGAAAGACGTAAATGCAGGACAGGTTTTATAGGGAGCACGTGCTGCTCTTCCAGAGGTCCAGAGTTTGGCTCCCAGACCCCACAATGGTAATTAACAGCCCAACCGTAACTCTAGTTCCAGGGGATCCAGTGCCCTCCTCTGGCCTCTGCAGACGCTGTACACAAGCGGTGCACAGACCTATGCAGATAAACACTAATGCAATAAGATAAAAACTTAATAACTACAAATTGGGGGAAGCGGTTTCGAGACAGGTTTTCTCTGTGCAGCCCTGGCTGACCTGGAACTCACTCTGTAGACCAGGCTGGCCTCAAACTCACAGAGATTAGCCTGTCTCTGCCTCCCCAGTGCTGGGATTAAATATGTGCCACCATTACCTGGCTAAGTAAAAAATGTTTTAATTTTAAAAAGGCCACAGCCGGGCGTTGGTGGCGCACGCCTTTAATCCCAGCACTCCGGAGGCAGAGGCAGGCGGATCTCTGTGAGTTCGAGGCCAGCCTGGTCTACAGAGTGAGTTCCAGGACAGCCTCCAAAGCCACAGAGAAACCTTGTCTCGAAAAAACCAAAATAAATAAATAAATAAATAAAAAATAAAAAGGCCACAACACACAGTAGGGCTTTAACCTTCCCTGTATCCTTCTCCCAGATGTGCCCCTCGGCAATCTCGTCTCCTGCTTCACCCCCATGAATGGAGCACCAGGGCCCTGTGAGGACCTCAACACTCAAACATAACAAATGGACAGCTTCAGCTCGGACTCAGAGCTCCCCTGATGCCACTGAGGCCTCCTGGGAGCCAGAGGGACCTTTATCACAACATGAAGTCTGGGCTTCTACTCAGCTCAGAACCTCAGTGACTTCCCAGCTCTCAGCTCTGGTCATGGAAGCCAAAGCTGCCCCAACTCCATCCATCTTCCCTTCCCGGCACCCACCAGGTCTTACAGATCTGTACCATGCCCATCCATCCTGCTAATGCCTTACTCCCAGGGCTGGCTGTCACAAGGCAAGGGCCGAGTTAGAAAGAGGAGGGAGGGGTGCCAGCTTCTACGGCTCTCCCCTCCTGGCTGCTACTGGGGCAGCAGCCCTCCACTGATGGTTACAGTCACATTAATAACCAGAGAGCCAGCTCAGCTAGTGCTGGCTCACAGAGGCACACAGCACAAAATCCCTTTCCGCGACAACTGGCCCAGCCTGTCACAAACTCACTTCCTCCCCCAACCCATGCCCTCTGCTCTAAACAGAGCACCCTAACTCTGGGTCATATGCCAGCTGTCCAAATCCCAAATCCCTGATTTTCTTGTGCTCAGGTTTCCAGTTCCCATCCACCTCAATTACAACCTGCCCCAAATACCAACTGCACTGCCCACCTGGGTCCCAGAGCCTAGGCACAGACAGCAGCCATTGGGTCTCCTCCTCTATGGATGATAGGAGCTGGATAGTACAATGATGTGATGGACGCCCAGTGTGGCATCCAGATGGCGCCTCCACCATCTCTGTAAAGGAGGCAGGGCCAGTAAACAGGGAGGAAAATGTCCAACATAAGCCTTGAAGCTCCACACCCCATCTTTGGCATAATCTGGAGGACCTATGGGCAATTTTTTTCTAGGTTTTTTTTTTCTTCTCCAGGTTATCCTGTCCATGCCTGTACAAGCTCATGGCTTCCCATGGAATCCACCTGCCAATCCATACCGACAATTTATGTAACAATCACATGGGAAGTGGGAGCCTGGCATTCCACTGTCAAGAAGGAAACCCCAAACCAACTCCCAAAATAGTAGTGAGATGACTGGCAGGGAGGACTTCCTTCTTGGAAGAAGGCTTTGTCCACACTGACTGCTGCTCCTTTACGGGTACAGGAGGAGTCCCGGTCCCGAGATTCCTAGAGGGCTCTGACGAAAGCGCCCAATGTCCTGCAGCCCAGGAGCCAGTCGGACGGGATGTGTATGCACACCGCCCTCACTCTGGTTACTGCAGAGACCTTTCCAGGCTCCCGTCAGCCATCAAGTGTGTAGAGCCCTGCCCCACGATGACCAGCAAACCCGGCAGCCTGTGTTGTCAGAGGACAGGTGCACGGGGTACTGGGGAGTCCCAGGAAAAGAAACAGCAAACACATGACCACCTCACAGGCTTGCCCTGCCGTTCAGATCAGGGAGACAATACAGCTGCTTCCAGCTGTGCACACAAGGCTTGGTAAAGAACTACCCTTGAGCTGGGAGGTGGTGGCACACGCCTTTAATCCCAGAATTCAGGAGGCAAAGGCAGGAGGATCTCTGTGAGTTCGAGACCAGCCTGGTCTACAGAGCTAGTTCCAGGACAGCCAGGGTTACACAAAGAAACCCTAGCTGGAAAAAAACAAAAGCAAACAAACAAAAAAACCAACCCTTGAGTTTTTGTTAAAACTCAAAAATGCTTATAAATGCTGTGATATGCAAAGTATGCAGTAATAAAGTTAAGTTTTAAACGACTCAAACACCAGTTTGGGATAGGTTGGGGGCCTCCACCAGGTAACAGTGACTTTTGGGTCACTAAATATCCCCTTTCTCAGTCAGTCACACAGGCATGGGGCACTGTGGCAAGGACTGGTAGCCAGGGACAGAGGGCTTCCAGCTAATGAGCTGAATGCAAGACCTTCGCACTGTGTCCAAGGGGGGTGAAAGTTTCCCCGAGTCCCCCAACTCTGTGCTTCTCCGACTTTAGGGCCCACTGGGAGTATGCCTTTGGGTTCTAATCAGTCTCACGTCCTCACTACCTACTTGGGGTTCATGTCCATCATGGAGTGTATCCACCCGGTCCAACCTCTACTAAGCAGGCTTCGAGAAGGAAAGAGCCCTGGGATCGGATCCCACACTCTGACACTTATGCATTCCATCAAGACAGCTTCCAGAGACAGCAGAGGTGCTAAGGGACAGAAAGGTGAGGTCTAAAGGACAATGGGGAAAGCAAGCCACCAAAGAGCCTGGGAGAGGGGGTTTCCGTGGGTTGTGGAGCCGGGAGGCAGAGTCTGAAAAGGCGAAGCCAGAGAGTTCTGGGAGTGTCAGAACTAATTTGCCTCCACAGGTCCAAAAGCCGAAGTGGGTGGGGAGGGTGGGCTGGAAGAGCGTCCAGGGAGACCAGGTGTGCGTACTAGAGCAGCACCCTCGAGACAGAAAGACACAAGTGGGGCTCGTGGGCCCCACAGCAGGGACCCCGCACCGAGATCAGGGCAATGGACCGCAGGGCCGTGACCCCGAGCCACCGAGCCTTAGGGCCGCGCAGCCTCGCACCGCTGCCGACGTCGCGAACTTTTCCGGCCCCCCTCCCGCCGACTTTCAGTTTCCGTCTCCGCACAACGCCCCCCGCCCCCCAGGACGGCGGCGGCCCCGCATCTGACCTCCGACCGCCGCTCCCACCCCGCGCCTGACCCCCGCCCCACCGGCCGCGAGAGTCGACCCCCCGGACTCGGACCCGCGCCGCCTCACCCAACGGTCTCCGCGCGCCCGGAACTCAGCGCCCGCCGGGAACCACCCCCACTGCCGCGGCCCGCCCCGCCCGACGGCCAGCCGCACGAGCCTACCAGGAGCTCACAGGGAACGGCAGCCGGCGTCGATTTGTCAGACGGGCCGCCTTGGGCCTGCCCTCTGACGGACGGAACCAGGAGCCTACCAGGGGCGAGCAGGGAGCCGCAGCGAGCGACGATTGGCCGGCGCCGCGCGGCGTGGTGCTAAACTTGTTTCCCCGGCTTCCTAGCAAAGTCTCTGGCATAAACCCGCCTGGGACATTCGCGCTCCTAGAACATACCTTGTGTTTTGGAGGTCAGTGGATAAAGTCACTTGTCACCAAGCCTGATGACCCGAGTTCAACTCTGGGGTCCACATCCTGGAAGGAGAGCAGATATTTATGCATTATTTAGTTACACACACACACACACACACACACACACACACACACCCCATAACACCACACGCATATATGTGTGGACACAGAATAATTAGATTTCACCCATCTTCTGCACCAGGTATGTCCAACCTGCAGCGTGTATCCCAGGATGACCATAAATGCATCCCAACACTTGTAGGTGTTATATCACAATGTCAAAAGGATGAACTCTTCTGCACTATACTCTGAGTCTCGTCTGCGTTCATTCTATAACTGATTTTGAGAGATAATTCGGCCGTTCTCTTGGGCTATCAGACTCTTGAAATAATGTACCCCAAGAAATTGACATACACTCCAGGAATCTCATGCAGGGAAAAGGCTGAAACCTAGGCCAACCAAAGGAGACACTTGTCTTCCTGGGAAGAGATTTGCAACTTCAGGCCACCTTGCAGGGTAGACTGGAGCTGAGACGGTGAGATGGGATGGGGCAGTGATGGGCAGGACCACACTGTGACCCCGCCTACTTAGTGATGCATAACTTTGGTCTGTACTTGAAGTGACAGTTTATGCAGGACCCTGAAGGTAGACGTGGAGGAGGCTGTGTTACCGAATCTGTCTTTCTTTCTAATGTGGGCACATTGAATAAATCCTTTTTGCTTTTCACTGGTGATTTTTCTCTTTAATTGGTTTATTGAGGACAAGTGACCGAGCATGTCTGACTAGGGATGGCAGAACAGGCTCTGACCCCAGTAGCTACATTAGTGATCCCATGAGACTGCAGGACTAGGGAGCTGAGGGGCATCCAGGTGAGATCCTGGTAACTAACGATGAGATCCCCCGTGGCTGTGAAAACTTGGTAAAGGCAGGGCTACCGCCCCGGCCTCGCTGACTGCACTCTTACTTCCTTAGGGGTTGGAATTCTCCTGACTGAACCAGGAATTCCACCAACATGACAGCAAGGTTGTCCTCTTCTGATAAAACTCAGGTGGCCACTGGGTCAGTTAGCTTCCTAGAGCCTGTTTGTCCCAAGCAACCACGGGGCTCACTTACACTAGTGAGTCCTCACCTGCAGGACTCAGCTCTACAAGTGTGAGGAGGTATTTCCTCCAGGCAGCTCCTGCGAGGCCGGAGGGCATCCTGAGAAGCTAGCAGCCTAGCTTGAGAGAAAGTAGGCTCACTTACAGCAGAGCATCTGCTCCATGAGGGAAAAAATGCATGTCTGGTCTTTCCTCCAGGCCTCCCCTCACCCACATCCACCAAAAATTTCACCAGCAAGACACTGCCCTCTGCCCTTAATGGCAGCCGAGCCAGAAATTGACATTACCATGGTAACCTTAACTGTAGTCTACTGGGCCAATGCTGCCCTTTAGACTTCTCTACTTTTGAGATTTTTTGTGCACTTTTGGGGGGAGGCACTGGTGTGCAGATTGCATACAGAGTTAGACCAGGTCAAGAGATGGGAGGTGTCCCGAATGGGAAGTGGCCTCACCACTGCCCCACCTACCAGCAAAGAACTGGGTGACATCCTGGGGACTCACCTCACTCACTGGCTGGGAAAGAGGTGAGTCACTGTAATTGTTGGACAGCTCAGGGGATTCCCATGTGGGTTCCTTCCTGCTAAAAAGAAAGCAAAAGTTACCCAGCAAGACAACCACTGATGGCCAGGCAGAGGTTGGTGGTGTCCCTTGGGCAAACTCAGGAGAACCCACACAGCACCTGCTTACTCCTCAAGTATCGGGATTAGTCAAGAAACCCATCTTCAGTAGAGCCTTTGACTCTGCATGGGGCACGGTGGCATTTGTGCTGAAGATGGTTGGGGTGACACATTCAAACAGGTTGGGACCTCAGGTGCTGACAGGGCTTGTTGGGGTGGACTGTGGTGACTGGGCAGGACAGTGTGTACCACAGTGTGTATGGAGGTCAGAGCACAACCTTGGGTGGCTTTTCTCACCTTCCACCTTGAGACAGGCTCTCTCATTCGCCTGCTAACTTGGACTGGACTAGCTGCCTGGTAAGCTTCCAGCAATTCTCTTGCCTCTGCCTCCTGTCTTGCCGCAGTCATGCTGGGACTACAGAAGTGAACTCCTGCATCTGGCTTTCCATGGGTCCTGAAGAGGCCCAGCCCGGCTGCAACCCTTTGCCGGCAGCACCAGCTTCTGTCTTTCCTGGTGACCCCTGGTTCTCACGACCATCATCTGTACAAGATGTAACGGTAGCACTTCTGACCTCTGACCCATGTGGTCCAGGACCCAGTTATGTCATTCATTCACACTGACTGGGTGTTAGATGATGGGCAGAGCCTAGGTCTTCCTAGCTTCTCAGGCAACAGCAAGTCTGCCACCTGCCGGCCAGAGAGGAAACTGGAGCGGTAGCAGTGAAAAGGCTGTGGACAGGATCTTCTTGGCGTCTGACAGGTGAGTGGGACTCCACAGGGCACTGTTAGCCATACACCTGTACCAGCTCTGCTCCCACTCAGACCCAGCAACTGGAGTCGTCCACCCACGGCCATGCAGCCATATGTCACCTCAGTTCTCAAGAGATCCCAGGGGCTCCTTTCCACCTGTGGGAGCTGGGTCCCCGGCCCTCCATATCGCATTCTCCATAGGGGCTCCTATTGTAGGATGCTATCCTTCAAGCATAGTAGCCTTGATCACCTGCATCAGAGACAGCTGGGACGACTCACAGGTGAGCCTCAAGATTGGGACTATTGCTATCCTCCCCCCCCCCCCCCCCGTAGAAGGATTGGGTGGGGATGGTCACAGACCTGAGAGCTCAGCCCCTCCTTCCTTCAACGCCTGCCAGATATATGCGACTCTGTCCCAGATGGACATGGTCTTTTGTTCTCAGGAGGTGCTAGAATGTATAATGTGGAAGGTTAACTGAGAGGAGACTCCATCCACACCGCCATAAGAAGTCATTATCCATGCTGTATGAGACTTTTATAGCTGTTTTGGGATTTTCTCCTCTAAGTAACCACTCACCCGTGCTTTGTAAGTACCCAATAAACTCAATGGTTTGCCAAGTTGGACTTTAGTGGAATTGTACCTCCCTTTCTTGTGGTGCCTTATTTGGTGTGAGTAGACACCGAGAGATGTCTCCCAGGGAAAGTTCACACAATACCATCATTCACCCTCAAGGTAGCGAGCAATGGCAAAGAAAAAAATTCCGCCCAAGTCCATTTTGGTGCACAATTAGTTTATTAGGGTCATGTACAGGAGTGCGGGTGATTCAAGGGCAGCTCTATTACCAGAAAGACCTTGTGCAACTCACAGACAGTTATACCACCAATGAATACCTCCCCAGCAGCTGTTCGCTTATACATCAAGAAGGGGCCTATTAGCATTGTCTCTACATGAGGGAATGGTAATAGCTCTAATCTCCTGAGGGTCTTCTGTGGGTGATCGCAGCATCTCTGCTTCAAGGTACTAGCGATCATGGGAACCCAGAGGAAACAGCTACATAACACAGTGTTAGGTCTCAGACTGCCCACCATGAGCAACTATAGAGAATTGACACGGTATGGAAGCCACTGTCTTACAGCATTGGGCAGCAGGCAGTGCAGAACTGAGAATCAGAGAGACGGGGGACAGCTCAGGTCGCCTATGTTCTCTCTGGCTTCCCGTTTAGAACACTTCACCAATACCCTCACAGGGAGGTGGAGACCAAGCACAGTATGGTGATTTTGCTGTGCTGAGGAGGTCAAAGGCAGAGCCCGGGTCGGCAGGAGCAGCTGCATTGGCAAACTATGATGCTGCCTGTAACTCCAGGTCCAGGGGGGATCTGACACCCTCTTCTGGCTTCTATAGGCACTGCACTCACGTGCACAACACCCACCACCACCCCATATACCCCCAAGTTAAAAATAAACAATCTTGGGAGGCAGAGGCATGTTGTGGAATATTTAGCTATGTAAAGATATGCTACATTTGTTTATGTGGTGGAATATTACTTTAATTGTGTAAAGATGTGTTGCATTTGTTTCAACTTGCCTGCCGAAGGCACCTGAATGATCTAATGAAAAGCTGAATGGTTAATAGCTAGGCAGGAGAGAGAGAGAGGCAGGGATGGCAGGCAGACAGAATAAGTCTGGGAAGAAAAATCGTAGGCTCAAGAGGATGAACAAAAGAGGAGAGGAGAGAACCAGGGAGACACCTGGGGCCACCAAGGCAGCCACCAGCCAGACACGAGAAGCAGTGTAAGATATACAGAAGGAAAGAAAAGCAAAAAGCCCAAGGCAAAAGGTAGATAAAGAGAAACAGGTTAATTTAAGTTTAAAGAGCTAGTCAGGAACGAGCCTAAGCTATGTCAGGCTTTCAAAACTAATAATAAGTCTCCGTGTCATGATTTGGGAGTTGCTACAGACAAATGTGAAAGAAAAAGCCTGCTGCAGAGGCAGGTGAATCACTGTGAGCTC